GGTCAAGGGGAGACTAAAGATGGATGGTGTCTCTGAAATCAAGGTAAAAAAACTGCTACTCTAGCGCCATCTGTTCCGTTGAAGTTGTTATTTAGCGAAACTGACCGTAGTTAAAATAATTATCAAATAAGTTCACCTCATATAAATAGCGGTTTAAACCGTTGTTTTATTTATATGTGTACTACTCGCGTAAACTACGCACAGTATTTAGCATTGACCCATCAATACAACGGATTACAAACGCATCCCCATTTTCCAATTTTCCGTTGTAAATGAAAAATAGAACTGGAGCGAGAACGTGCAGCGAAAAAACAGTAACAAAGGTGAAAAACGAAAATCCATTACGCCCATATTGATGCGCTATCGCATATTATACAAGGAGAGATCCTTCTTAATACCAAAAACAGAGAGTTGCTATTCCTTTGGCGCGCCATATATGGTCATAATATGTAGCACCACTATAGTTCACAGTCGGCGGTGAGACGCGACATCTATGTCAGTTATGGAAAAATCAATGGTACTGAACGACATGCCTACTAAGTACTTACTTCTCTACTGCTTGCGTTTTACAAGTAGACCCTCATAAAGCTTTCATAACAGAACTACAATGATTGTGAATGTTTGTTACTTTTTTTACACCAAAACTACTGAACAGATAAAAATGAACATATGCCGATATATTACGTAGCAAAGGCTTAACACGAGGCCGTATTAAAAATACGATACGAGAAAAACTAGTTAGTGACTCAAGTATCAATAAGTTATAAGTATATTTCCCAACTGCGCGTGATATGCACTGTGGCGGTACATATAGTGACTCACTGATGGATCTGACCTTACCGAGTGCACCCTCATAGTCTTGACACTTTTATGTCTATTTAAATTGTATTATTCTGGACTCGCTCCCACGTTTTTCTAAATATGCATTTTACGTCACTAATATCCTAACATACATGAGGCGAAAGCTGTTCAATGAGCTATTTGACAGATAATTATATCAAAAATAATAATTTGTAATGTTTGGTAGACACTGTCTATAGTTTACGCGAGTAGTACATTAATTACATTTAAATATAACCGTTTTAAACCGTCAAAGTGTTTTATTAAAATGTTTGGTAGAGGTAAAAGAACTCTAAGTCTATTCAAATTTTGCTACTTATTTACTGAAATATATCAAATTAAAAACCCAACTCTTACATTGCGCGCCTAAACACTAGGAAGCACGTTGGTTTATAAGCAAGTGACGTCATAAACCAGATCAATCAAGAGCGTTTTGTGTCACGTGACAAATTTTTGTTTAAATCAATCAAACAAACAACCAAAAAATACTTTATTCTCACCACAATGTTACAAAATAAAACACAATCAATATTTTTAACACATGTTTCACTGTTTTACTATTTCTTACTTATAGTTAGTGCCGATAACAGTTAATGACGTTTTATTTTTCGCATTTTCAAATAGCCCGTTGCGACTAAGATTCTATACGGCGAACCTAGGACCAGTCGCGGTTAAAATGGCCCATCATCTCGAATTAGTAGTGACGTAATAGCACATTTAACATACTTAAACATATGTATATTATTATAAACGTACGTTAGTTATAGTGAACTTCACTGACACTCGTAGTGAAACTTTTAACGAGGCCTCTTAACTTTTACTAGTACGCGATGTCAATTTTTCACGCTTTCAATATTTATTAACGGCAAAAATTATATATTTTTGCACTCAATATGAGAAGATTAGTACTAATTCACTGTATTAAAAGTAATTAAGGAGCTGAAGAACATATTTGTTTGTTTAAACGCGCTAATTATTTTAGGCTTTAGACTATAAAACACTGCGACAAATAGGAGCGGAAAAACAGTGGTAACTGTGGAAAAATGGGTGAAAATTATTCATCTTTAAAGGCTTAAAACGGTTCAAGACACCCAAAAAATATATGTCTATCTTTTTAGATTAAGATAAATGGGACGCGGACGACGTTGTGGGAAACAGACTAAAACAGGCTATAATGAGGCTATTAAGAGATGAGGAGGTTTGGAAAAGCTAATTTTGGTGCTCAAAATTAGTTTCTGCAAACCTCAAAAGAAATTGAACAGTTTATGGGCGAAGTCGCTGGCACAGCTAGTTTAAACAGAAATATGAAATATAATACACTTAAACTTTCTATTGAAATTACGATTTAATACGACTTATACTTAATACATACCTAGTACGTTACTGTTTGAAAACTATAATGATAACATTTTTTAAATTTACTAATAAACATAAAATAATAGAGGTTGAGTATAATTTTAGTTAAATATCACAGTTCTACTCCATGACATTTGTGTTCTAAGCTGCAGAAAAAGCTATAAATATTCTAAACGACACGGACAGGAACAGCGAAGGGCCGACCTCACAATTGATGGTGACAGCTCCAACTACGAAAGTAATCGCGTACCGAACAATTATGTTAATAATATAGGAATAGATGAAGTACACTTACATTTTATCTATACTTTGCGAATAGCGTAAATTCATAACTGACCCAAACTTTTGTGAATATAGGTACCATAAGACTGATTTCAGAAAACAATACTAGCTTTTGTATCCATTAAGACTTTAATTTTATTCGATATCTCTTTATTTGTCTTTATAGTAAAAAAAAATAAAAATAAATGACGCATTAACATAAACATTACTAAGATAGATTACTTTGCAGTATTTTCAAAAAATTAATCAACTAACTGAATGTTCTACTGAGAGGTAGGCAATTAGTAGTTAGGCAAAGTATTAACCAATAATATAAATTATGCGAAACAAATCTTATCATGTACTTTTTAAATATAATACATTTAACAAGTGGGCTAGAGATGTTTTTTTATTTATCTGTTGTAGTAACATATGATATTAAAATTGGATCAAACTCTACGTATGAAAATCGTCCCATCTACTTTTATCCAACACGTAATTAACATACCATTGTGCGCAAACAACCTAACGTCTTTAGACACGTAAGTGCTCAAGCAAAGTAATAATTTTTTGGCCCAGTAATTTCACTAACTACTGCTCTACTCGAAGCAAATTGGATCAGGTTTGATTGGGACCGAGTGTAAATCTTTACCGACTTGGCACAACGGCACATTCACTGTTAAACCAGGCCGCGGCTTATATTGCCAATGAAAATATGAGCCAGTTAATATGGCTTCTATAATCAGCCATACAAATATGTCTGTAATACGATTAATAGTTTACAGAGTACGCGGCGGCCCGTTTATCTTTTATTCTCTAAAATTGTTTCGAGCCGGGCTTTTGAGCGGCGTAATTAAAAAATATTTCTGAATCTACAAGTGTTTCATATTTTATTTCCTTTAGGCATGACGCACACTGGCCAATTCGAATTAGTCATTTAAAGATTACATTATGCCCTCTAAATAATATATTAGCAAAGTCTGTCATCTTACCATACTAAGATAGATTAAAAAATCGAAAAATTTCGACTCGGCCAGGTTTTGAACCGGCATTGTTACCGTTCCGTGCTTCAAAATCATTTTCAAATAAGTTTAACTAATATATCGCGTTTTAAACCGTTAAAGTGTTTTATTTAATATAAAATTATCTTTTCGCCAAAAAATTTACTCTTTCAAATTGTCTAAAGGTCTAATGTCTTAAAACTAATAAACAATTGTAGTTAGCAAAGAAGGCAATATAAACAGCCTTGTGTGCGATACGCCTTAATATTTTTTTCCATTAAAAGGTTGAAGAGATGCAATTGCAACTATAATGGGGTTTCTAGGTTATAATTGTGCAATCTTAATTCGCTGGCCTATATTTTCTATTCAAGCGACTCTCAAAGAAATAAAAATGTTTGCGAATAAAAGCATCCTGTTAACAATGAAAACATTTGGTTCTCCATCTAATTAGCCTTTTCACTGCACACAAACAGAGAGTAAAATAAAAGTTCTCTTCATTTTTAAAGTACTCAAAGGATATGTCCCTGTGAACAAGTCAAGTTAATATGATCTGTGGCCGAATTACAAACTGGGAATTCATTTATTAGTACATACGATGTGCAACTGATGAATTCAAACCCATGACAAACAACATTCCGACAGCAGTTGCTATATATATAGCATTGAAGATACTGTATGTGTATCTGTGGTCATCAAAATCCTCTATGCTTCTATAGATGACGATGATATTGAACGAACATATTGATTGTAGGACTCGATTTATTGTTAAATATTTTACATTAATAAATTAAATGGTACCTGTTCAAAATTATTAATGAAAACAGAGAATATATTAAGGCAACATGCGTTGTTAAAAAAATATCTATAAATCATAGTAATAAATAATTAAACCAAAATGTTAGTTTAATTACTATCTGATGTTTATTACCAAGATATGAAAAAAAATACATATATTAAATTTTCAAACATATATTTTGGTATATACTGACATATTATATTTAATGAATGAATTTTCCTTCAGTCAAACATCTGATTTAATGCTGCACCTAAGAGCTTAAAAAGGCATGTTATGCATAAGGTACATCTAATTAATGATTCACAAGGAAGACAGGTTTTACAAAGGTTCATATGAAATAATTTACAGAACAAGGCCAAGGAATTGAAATTATTGAACGGATTAAATTAATTAGATTCTGCAATTAACAGTATGTAGAAATGGAAGCGATCTGTTTTTAAATAAAAAGGAATTAGAGTGCTATAAATTTAAAGACTTTAATTTCTTATAAATGTGGTGGTATATTAAGGATAATAGGAAATTAAGCTAATAAGGGTGATTTTAAAATTCCAATAAGATGTAATCAATTATAGCAATAGAAAAGGCTGAAATATTCAGTAGAAAGAAATACGAAGTGCCTTTTGCCGCTCATAATAGGATATAGGTGGTGGTGGAAACAAAAATATGAGATTCAAATGCTTGTGGTGCGTCCGTATCCAATAAAAATGATAAAATAACAATCACGCGTAGTACTCATTGTTACTCACCATAAATCTCCAAGATTTCGTTGTTAACACCAGCATTATCACAATGAACGCACAAAATAAATACAATAAAAATGGCTCCTAACGTGTACTGAAAATACATCTTAATATCACAATAATCACGGAAGCCGCCCCTTAAAATGTCTAATTATTGTTCGTACACCACATTTTTACTACTTTACATTAAACGCAGTGGGATTAATATCGTCAACAAGTCATTTATTCTCAATAAATTGTTACAATTTTAGTCGAAGTGCCATCGAGCTAGGACCCCGCCGACTGTCATTTGTCTTGTCAATAAACAATTAATGTTGCCATTTCACCACAAATACTCCCGAATGTCGAAAGGTTAAAACTTTTTTTTTCAGCAACACTTGAATCTATACCAACAAAAGAAAAACTTAATATTTTATATTTAAGTAAGATCCATTTGTACGTGTAATATTTTATTTAATAAAAAGTTACGAAATAGAAGGTATAGCTTCGTAAATAAACTAGTTCAGTCCAAGAGTGTCACAAATATATATATTTTTAATTAGTATATTTATTTTAATGTATTAATATTATATGTTTATTATCTTTTAAAAAATCTTCTTTATAATTTGTTTGGTTTAAACTATACACCAATGACAATAAAATAGCAACTTAAAATACCAACTGAAATATAAAAAATTGGCAACACTGTTCAGAGAATTGTTTGTTCGGCTTTGGGTGTCAGCCGCTTTGTAAATTTTTTACTGTGATAAATATAGCATTAATTGGTGATATTGGCGTGTAACTGAATCGAACATGAATTAACTAACATGTGATAGTCTTATTATTGTGGTGACTTGGTTATTGTATGTGATAGACAGCATCTTCCGCCATGATAATGGTTCACTTGGTGAGGAAGTGCCCCGTAGCATTTGCGCTGTATTTCGGGTGTATTGCACTCTGTTATCCGGTTTTAGGTAAGTTATAATAAACAAATTGTTCAATAACACTAACTGTAAACTATGCATGTGGTTTTTAATTCAATTTTGCATGCTTATATATATTAAAATAAAATGCGAAGGGTCCGAAACAAAAGCTTACATTGAGCTTATAACATCGTAGTTTTTGGTTGACAACCGTTTAGTTTATGTATCGTTTACATTAATATAACGTTACAAGTAAAAAACAAACCGTTATCATATAAGTATTGAATCTACTATAGTAAAAAAATAACAATAAAAGCTAAGATCACATTAAATGTGAAGTATAACGAACAAATACTGAGTTACATACATACTATGTAAAAATAGCATATATTTCTAAGTTTATATGAAAACAAGACCTATGTTAAAAGTAAACTTAGTTGCTTTTAATATTATTCCTGTATGAATCAAAGACTTTCTATGTCAACATATAGACTGCATTGCTACTAGTGTGTTATATTTGTTACAAAATAGTGAAACAATAAGTAAAAGCCCTTTCCATGGGACATGGACATATACATTTCTATGGAATAAGATATTTACAGCTGCAATGTTTATGAGACTACTTGAACTAAGACTATTAAAAACTAATCACGATCTCTACATTTTTAAATCAGGACTCTCAGTCTATTTATAATAAAAACTATAGTTTAAAAATAATTAGGAAAAACTATTTTGTTTTGATGAAAAATAATTTTGCATTTATTCATAAATTTAATGTGAGGTTCTGTATAATTCAATTAGTACTAAATTTGAAGATGCATTTAATAATTTAATATTAATATTTTTACCAATACATCTTGTTGGCTGGTGAAAGATAAGAAATAGAAATTATATTTCAAATAAATGCCTCTAATTGACCTGACTAGTAATATTGATGTTTCTACTATTTCTTATTATGGGGGGGGGGCCGGGAAATAAATAACGCCTTTTTTGAATAAATATACTTTTTTTGCTTTGTTAAGAGAATGGTATTATACAAACCTTAAATACTATAAATTTAGATTATCTAAGAGATTAATTAATTGATGATGAATATAGTTGAACCTCATTTTCTTTGGTTTTAGATTTTTTATATATCGATATATCATTTGCAGTGATGTGAAAATGTAAATATTTAAAAATATATTTCTTCAACTTATTGTTTACTTTAGTAATTAAGGACAACTAAATACAAATTATAAACCTACTTTTATTTGAGTAATTTAAAAAGTTATTTTTGATACCTTTACTTGAACTTTTTTTTTACAATAGCATAGTTAGAAACATTTTAAAAACACACAAATTTGTAAAGCGAGAGATGACACATTGAACCAAAGCACGATAACCCAACATCCACAAAAGGGAGTGGAGAGTTGGATGCACACTTATTGGCTTTTTAGTAGTGTCCGCAAGAGAAAATATTAAAACAATTTATATAGATTCACATATATAACCTATTATACATTATTTGTTTTGGCTAAGCTATTGTTTTAAGTAGAGTTGTTTTCAACCCTACATGAGGGGAGTTTGTAAGGGGCCTCTCATAGGTGTTAAGTGTTTGACTTTCAGCTTTCAATACACATGTGTGTGGGTGTGTCAAAAAGTACAGACACTACTTATATATGCATATATTTATTATATAGGGTTCAGGCCAGATACACACATGAATATTCTACCAAAATATAAGTCTAACTAAAATAAAAATCTAATAAAATTTTAACAATAAAAAAAGAAATATATCCTTTAAATCTACCTTAATTAGGCTTCTATAATTCCATAATTGGGATCCATAGCTGAAGGGTAATAGCCCTGTTGCTGTTACAACAAACACAAAAAAACATAAGTAATAAATTTAATATTTATGTGTGTTTCTATATAACAAACAAAATTTTTACCCCTTTTTTGTCCTGTATATATCAATCATGGCAACAGGTATTAAATTAAAAATATTCACTAACTACTTGTTGATTATTTAATTAAATAAACTAAACTAAAGTACTTAAGTACTTAATTCACCAGATAAACATTCAAAAAGCAGTAGTTGTTCTGTTTTGTTTGATATTAAAATTTGTAGTATTTAGTTTGTAGTAGGTTTTTATAAATAAAAAGAGGTACAATACAAAATCTGTGTTCCTAGTAAATGTACAGTACCCTTTGTGCATGAATCAAACTCGAACTTGGTTAGATTCTATTTTTGTTTAATTTATCATCTTGTGTATTTAAGTACATTACATAAATTCATGTACATATATTGTTATTAAACATGAATACTCTTTCAGCACAAGATGTGGCAGAGATCTTAGATGTATCATCAGCGGGCAACCTCGGCGGTGAGTCAAATGTCAGTTGCAGTGTATCACCCAGTGAAGTGGATGTGCAATGGCAGTTTAATGGGGAATCACTCAAGATTGGTGAAAGGTGAGTGCTAGGAAACATGACATCAGGGATGAGCGCTGAGAACCTGTTTATACTGTTTGAAAATAAACAATTTCAAATACTATACTGTCTGTGGTTTTTCACTAATAAAACGCGATATACCTACATTATTTCCAGCAGCCGATAGTTAAAATGAATTTCCAAATAAGTTTAAAAATATCACGTTCTAAAGCATTGTTAAATTCAGAAAATTTCATCTGCATATGATGAGAACTAGTTTGTAGTATCTTCGTTTCTACATAAGTTTTGCACCAGGAGTTTTAAGAGCTGAGACCCACCATGCTGTTTTTAATAATTTACGAACGACTATCGCCACTAAATTATTCGTTTTAACTGCAACCGATGGCTTAACGTGCTCTGCAAAAGAAAAAGAAGTAACTATTGCTCGAGGCAAGATTCAAACCACTAGGTCACAGAGGCAGATGGGGGGACTTAAATTTGAAGCCCGATTTCAGGTTTATCAGATTCAAATTAAGACTCCATTGACGAACAAAGTTTTTTTTGTAATAATTACTTTAATAAAGTACTGTTAAGAATTAATTAACATGTCGATTTAATAAATTAAAATGCAGTGTACTTTTTTCTGTACAAATGGACAGTGTAGCGAGTAGTTACATGAATAGGCCTTAGTTATTAACACCTATTTCTAAAGAACAGCGTTGAATGTAATTGGAACTGGTCTCACTTTACGTAATTAGCAAAAATGTATAACAAAGCACAGGGAATGATAGACAAGTATAATGTTACGTTTAAGCTTATCAATCTCTTTTTACATAACCACAACTTTTTATGAACAGTAGGTATCTATACTAATATATAAAGCTGAAGAGTTTGTTTGTTTCAACGCGCTAATCTCAGGAACTACTGGTTCGAATTGAAAAATTATTTTTGTGTAGCTCTACAACATCGCAATGTCACTAATACGATCGAAGAAGTAGCGAGAAATGGGGAAGAAAATTCGAGGAAATTATTCATCTTTGTGGGTTTTCGATGCGTACGCTGCAAGAACAATTCAGGATACTTAAAAAATATGTCTGTGTATGTGGAAAAAGAACTATGCCTCTTTAAGTCTCCTTTATATTTTTGATCATTTTTGTTGTGCAAAAAATTGTAAATAAATAAATAAAATAAGTAAATGATCTAAAAAAGTCCGCGACACTATACCTATATCTATGTTTTAAGAATAACTTGCAAGAACGACGGGACGCGTCCGACGACGTGGGTAAAAGCTTTAATTTATAAAGATGAAAAGGAGGTTTGCAAAAACGAATCTGACTGTCCAAAATTACTATTCTACGCGGAAGAAGTCGCCGACACAGCTAGTTTTAAATGCGAAATATTGGTTAATTCACTTTTACACACATTTTAACTACATACAACCAGGTGTTTAGGATGCTTTGTAGTAGGTGTCCATAATGGCAAGTCTAATCTGCTATACTAGCGCCATCTTTTATTATTATATTCTTTTGGGAGGGATCCAAGTTCCGGTGATCAGACCACATACAATTTTAACTGCTTCACTTATTTACCTATTCTCCCTAGGTTATACAACACTTATTATGTCCCTTAAAATCTTCCTGTTTCTAAAATATTATCAAATTCAAGATACATTTTGAAGAAAACCTAAAAATTTCAAGATACTTAAGTTTAGGAACCAACTAAAAAAATTCTCAATGGACCCTCACTCAATGAAGAGGTTTGATCGCCAACAAGTGTCACGTCCCTTAACAAAGGCTGAGTAAAATTTAAAAAATAAAACAGATTGCAATCACACCAATTTAGGGGTTCCGTATTCAAAGGGTAAAAGGAGAAATGCATCTGTCACCAGATGGTATTTCATGGAAGTCGACTATGAAAACACGTACTATCGACGTTTTTACATCGAAGGGACTTTATGGAACAAAATTGTGTACGTTGGTTCAGTACTTAGAGTTTCGGCACTCTTCGAATGTATGTTGAAGGTGATTCGCCTTTCGAAAGGTGAGGTGGAACTAGCTGTGTCAGCGACTTAAAAAAGCGAGTAAAAAAGTAATTTTGTTCATCCAAATTTGTTTTTGCAAACCTTCTCTTCATCTTTATAAATTTAAGCTTTTACCCACGATATCAGTCGAGTCTTGGCGCTCGCGGCCCGTCGTTCTTGCGAGTTTACCTTAAAAGATTCTGAAATCTGATATTTGTTTAGATCATTTAAAGAGGAATCATTCTTTTATACATATTTTTTGAAACCTACAATGATAAAATTCCCTTTTTTCCACGTTTTCCGCTGTTCCTTCGCTCCAGTCGTAGCGAGATTTTTTTATAGTAGTTCCAGAGATTAGCGTGTTCAAACAAATAAACTCTTCAGCTTTATACATTAGTCCTATTATTTCACATACAACAATAATTACTATATAAGGGGCATTCGACGACCGTGACTTTGTTTTTACATAGAATTGTGCGGAACCCATTCGCCCGAACGATAGATCGTGTTTGTTCGAATTCGTCCGTCTGTTCGTAAGGGATACGGGCATTTGATTGAGTCAACCATGTTGATGAAGAATTTAATTGAATAGAGCTCGGAAAACTAGGTTGAAGTTATCGGAGCCTTTTGATAAATTTCCTTTATGTAAATAAAAGGATAAAGTTTAAATTGCTGTTATGCGTTTTCATTTGTCGTTCCATCTTCGTTGTTCAACTTAAATGACAAAGTTTGCTATTAAGTATTAATAATAGTTATAGTTTTACAATATCTATCAATACTAATATATAAAGGAGAGTTAGTTTATTGGTTTGCGCTAATCTCGGGAATTACTGGTTCGAATTGATAAATTATTTTTATGTTGGTTTAGAACATTTATCGATAAAGCCATAGGGTATAAAACTTTGTAACAGCAACTAATAGGAGCGAAGAAACAGCGGGAAATGTGGAAAATACGGGGAAAATTTTTCATCTCTACGGGATTCAGATGCATAGGTACGCTGCGAAAACGATTCAAGACACTCAAAAAATATGTATGATAGAATGATACCTCTTTAAATGATCTAAAAAAATAACTGCGACATCGCGTCAAGTTAATCTTAAAAGATAGACTATATTATGTCTATCTCTTAAGATTAACTTGACGCGGCCGATGTCGTGGGCAGCTTGAATTTATAAAAATAGAAGTTTGCAAAAACAAATTTGAATGCCCAAAATAACTATTCTACGCGGACGAAGTCGCTGACACAGCTAGGTCATTATAACTACTTAGATATTCCATTTAGCTTTGTTCATACTGCGTCCAGGGCTGGATTGTTAATCTTAAAATATAGGCAAAAACTGTCGCGGGCTTTTTTCAAGAAAATTTAAAGACGAAATTTTAATTCATACACATTTTTTGGTTTCTTAAGCCGTTTTCATATTATGTATTTTAATATCTTTTTCACAGTTTCCGCTCTTGCCTTATTATAGGCCCTAAGCCTTTCTCTTCTACTGAACTTTTCAATAACACCCATAGTTCCTGATATTGCGTTCAAACAAACTCTTCAATTTCATAATATAAATATAGATATAAAAATGGCCTTACTAAGTCGTCCTATTGTTGTTCTTTCATCTTAAAATCATATACAAGTACTAACATATTTATGTATTAAAGAAATAACAAATGTATTGTAATTGATCCCAAGACGGATCCTTGGGCTGTGACCCCGTTTAGGTTTTCATTGTTAATCTAAATATGAATACGCCGAGAAAATACTGGGCTGTGTCGGCGCCTATATCCTTTTTATAGAAGTAATTTACCAGCTAAGAGAAATATAGGTAATCATAATATAGGATACACATATCTAATGTCAGACCACGACGTTGGTCTAGTCTAGTGGTAAGTACACTATACTCGGATCTAGGGTTTGAGTTTTGAGTTGGGTTAAATGTGAACTGAACTAGTGTTTGAATATTTTAAGAAATTTCTTGGAGATGCCTCGAGGAGCGTATTATGCCATCGGTCACGTTTATTATAACTTATTTCGTGGCGGTTTTTAAAACTTACGTGATTGAACCTAGATACCTAAGTTTGACAGGCTCGTTAGGCTAATAATCAACGCATCGTAGGTTGTTGTATTTGTAGCGTTATAAACTAAGACGCAGTTAAAATAATATATCTATGCAGTACGGTTCATAATTTATTTATCTACGTAAAAATAAAAGCAACGTTGTAACCTTGACATTAATTAAAAACTGCGGAGCGAAACTAATAACTTTTAATTGGGTCTTTACCCTACTAATAATAATTACGTGTAGGGAAAAATATAGTAATTTTCTACACGTTTTCAGGTTTTATGAGGCTGCTAGAGTCAGAGTGACCTAATAACTAAATAAATCATTATTTTCAATAAGAGGGAAAATAAAAATGCGCAATTGACTTAGACGAAAATGAATTTGTACTATTATTTGTGTAATTATGTTAACAATTTCCGGTCACTGTGATCTTCTAGATAGAAAAAAATTGACTTTAAAGATATAATTAAGTCAAGACATAAAAATTGCAGTTAGGCTACTCTGGATCTATTCTCAATGGGCCATTTGTTGCACTAGGTACATACAATTCATATTACAACTTTTATAAGTCAAGTTACTAGATATCGTGGTTCTTGATATAAAGACTCATTACAGACAATGGCAGAGAGATAGCGAGTCTTAGTAGTAGAGTTTTTATCTCTGCTTTGTGTGCAGAATCCTAAATTAAGAGATTTTAAATTAAAAATCGATTATTAATAGAAAAAATTACGACACTATCAAGAACCGGCTTCCATAGTGTTCGGCGCTGTTGCTCTAACCAATTGAGCTACAGTGTCAACCGTACCGTGTCAGCACCAAACTCTGTGGATATCGGTTCACGCCCTGCCCGTATCCCAATTTTTTAATGTATACTCGATTTTGAATTTATATAGTGCCATCATGTGCAATAACTTGTGAAAAATATTAAAGTTTTTAAAGAGATTTTATCAGAAACCATAAACTGTATACCGAATTATAAAAAATCATATAGAATCACACTATGCTGTAACAAATGTTTAGACGTAATAGTAAATGTTTTTTTTTTTAGGATAAAACAGTACTCGGAGGAACGGCTCCTTCACAAAAAGGATCTAGATGGCAATCAAAAGAAATACAAAGTCGTAAACGTGACGATTACAAACTCGACATCCGATGACGATGGCAACTACACGTGTATCGCGACGTCGGGGGACAAGAAGTCTGAAAAGGTGGTTCGCCTAGACCTCAGTTTCCCCGGAAAACTGGTCCGCAACACGCCCGGTCCGATCAAGCAAAATGTGTCCAGTCAAGCTAACGTTACCTTGGAGTGTGTTTTTGAAGGTAATTAGTAAAAATTCTCCGTATACTAAATTTAACTACGGCCAGACGTTAATTATTTTCATTATAAAATAGATATTGTTGGTAATTCACACGAGTATTACCTACACATTTAAGTTTTACTACACACTTAACGGTTTAAAACGCGATAGCTCGGACGCTTTGCAGCCATTTTAGTCACCGGGGCCTGAGGATGTTAGATGTCCGTAATGTGAAAGTCAAAAATGTTTCATTGTTAAAATTTACTGCAACGGGTAGGACTCGAACCGGCTTCCACCACGGACACAGTAGCTCAATTGTCTAGAGCGACAGCTCGGAACGCTGCAGAAGCTTGTTCGAGTCGTAATTTTTTTCAGTGCAATTTGAATTTTAATTTATATGTCTGTAATTCCCTACGCGTTAGCTACATGCATTTATAGTATGAGAAAAGCCGATATCATTAGCGCTTTGAAGCCTCCACTTTAATATCCTGACTAATATAGCCTATTTTATGAAATCCCGTTCAAATATCCTGCCGTATATAGGTCACTTTGCTAAGAATGACTATCATTACATAGTTTATATTCTCGCTCTTGTCTGCGCTTAGCACTGCAATTTTAATGTACGTATTTGTCGTGTAGACGCTTTGAGAATATAACATTCTTCCGTCCATTCTTTTCTTTGAATTGTGATGGTTTTATTTTTCACGTACCTGACTTTCATTAACATAATAAATAATGTCTGTAGCTTATGCAAGCAGTTCGCATTTAAATAAAAAAAAAACTAAACGGTTTTAAATTCGAAATATTGTAGTTAACTTATTTTTAATTAATTTTAACTTCTTATTACTTTAGTATCCGAAATGTCAGGCCCTAGTTAGAATAATAAATGTAAACCGTTAAAAGTTAATAGTTTTTTTATTTAATTTTATTATTATGTTCTTCGTGACCGAAATTTCGGTTTGTAGTTTAAAAATATGCAATATCTTGTCTCTATACTCAAGACTTCCTTCTTACTTCGATCTAGTTTCCCTTTTTCTTTGAAGTCAAAATAGGTCGACATCGCATCTTCTTTAGATGTTGTATAGCTGGAGTGTTTCACATACCATGAAGTGAACCATTTTGTCTGTCCTCCTTTATCATAAAAAAACCTTATACTTAATATTGTACGGTGATATTAACTGATTCGGTTATTCGACGTCATTTTGTTTTTACTATAATAAATCTCTGTCAGATCTGGCTAACCTCTTTCTCATTCCTTATTTTCAGTGTACAAAACCACAGAAGTGAAATGGTGGAAGCAGGGTAAAGACGACGAGATTACAGACCTCACAGTGAAGCCGCCAACTAAATTAAGTCTCAAGGAAATCCAGAGTACATATAACCTGCACATTCATAACCCAGAAGACAACGGCACCTACATCTGCCAGATTTTTGATCCTGTGACGTCATTAAATATCTCCGGACACGTTGACATCATAGTCTTTGCCCCGCCTCAAGTGGTGATAGACACGGTGATCCCAATAAGCGCCTCGCAACTGTTTCTGAACTGGACAGTCAGGTCTTATAATTCGCCAATCAGATTTTACAATTTAATGTACCGGAAGCTACCTTCTACAGACTTCAGTCTCTACACCAGGGAGAAAATAGGTGTGAAAAACATATCATTCGTCATGGAAGGCTTGGAGAAGTCCACGAAATACCAGCTGAAGCTGGAAGTGACCACGATGCACGGGCAAAGCAAGCCACACATCTACGAATCGACTGTCCGGACCTTGGATAAAGATCCCATTTTCGTCCCCAACATTTCGATAAATGGATTCTCTGCTACCTCCGTCACTATTGGCTGGGCCCCACCGCCGGAGGATATAGCTGAATTAATTCATTATTACTTGTTGGAGGCGAGGAAGATGGATGAAGTGGCTCCCAGGAGGGCCTACCACTCCAGGGACAGTCGCAATTTACCATATATGTTTGATAACTTGGAGCCGCACAGTACTTATGTTTTTCGGGTGCGTATATAACAAGAATAAAATTAATGACACTAACCTTGTCTGTAGTTTACACGCGTAGTTCAAATAAAATACTTTGAACGGTGTAAAACTCCAAATTTATGGATAAGTTAACTTATTAACAAATTAATTTTTACTACGAACCGACGTGGCCCGTGGATATTTCGCACACGTTAAAAGTATCACTACAACCTAGTTAAAAAACTTAAGAAGTGTACTATGTAAACTACAGATAACTTTAGGTGACCGCGCATTTGTGTGCAACGTACGCGCAAAACAATGCGGTGCGTACGCTGACAATGTACGTTTACTTTGTATAGTACCGAAATCTAGAACTAATACTTGGTAAAATCGGCGCATACGTCTCTTACAATGTTCGATTTCTTTTATAGGTGAAATCTGAATATACGTTGAGTATATATTATTGATTTTTTTCCTTAGGTATGCGCTTGCTCGGACTTTACGAAGCGCTGCGGCAACTGGTCTGGAGAAATGCAGGCCGCGACCCTAGACGGTATCCCCGGGCGACCCAGTAATGTGTCGGTGCACTGTGCGAGTAGCTGGATAAACCTCACTTGGCAGCCACCCCTCAAACCCAACGCTGAGATTAAAGGATATACCGTGAGTACTGTAGGATCTCATTGATTTGCCACCTTCATACAGTGTGCCGGATTTTTGGAATGGAAAAAATCTATTAATAACTATAATGTTCTTCATATGATAGCACTATACAAGTTACTGATGATGACGGTTCATCCTGCCTGTGACGTAATCTTTTTCAATTTATAATCGATTTTTAATTCATGGACAATATCGTAACATAAAAAAATGCAGCATTTGATAGAGATAATTTTGGTCCGCCGGATTATGGAATATGCTGATTTTGTGAGATTCTTCTTTATTTGTAACTAAATCTTGCGATCTCTTTCTTATTAGACATGATATAGGCCAATTTGAAATATATTATTTTCTTGTTCACCTTCTTCAGTGAACCCCGTGTTTATATGACCTCCCCTATCATAAAAAAAGTGTTGGAACATAATATTATATACAAAGTAATATTCTTTCAGATGGAGCTAACTGGTAACGCCACGTACAGAGACAGATATGGCACGGACAAAGTATCTATGTGGGGTCCACTTACAAAATTTAAAACCAATGATTCTAGGAGTGTAAGGTAAGCCTGGATTTCATATTCTTTTGAATAACATTTTAATCGTTTTTAAACGCGAAAATTAAATGGTACTTTATGGTACTTCTTGGCAATGATCTACGTTTCGCATAATAATAATATTTCGTTTTTAAACACGAAATTTAACATAGTTAAATTGCTTTATACTACTTGTACACTTCTACAGATTTGAAGATCTCCAACCGAACACTAACTATACCGTACGTTTGAGTGCAATGACGAGAACTCGAAGAAGGGGTGAAGAAGAAACACGATATTGCTACACTGAACCGACATCACCTGATTCGCCTCCGAGGCCTAAATGGCGGAAGGTAGCCTTTATTCTTTGACTAGCTGTGTCAGCGCCCTCGTCCGCGAGAATCGTAATTTGAGCATCCAATTTCGTTTTTGCAAACGCCTTCACTTAACGTCTTTCTTGCAAGCTAATCCTAAAAGATAGACATATAGCGTCGCGGACTTTTTTTTAGATCATTTAAAGAGGAATCCCATTTCTCGCTGTATCCTCGATAAATGTTCTAACTAACACAAAAATAATTTTTCAATTCGGACCCGTAGTTCCTGATATTAGTGCGTTCAAACAAATAAACTCTTCAGTTTATATATTAGTACAGATGCCTCCTATCCAAGAATACAATTACGTGTTTACGTTAAGTAAGTGTAAGTTTTTTGTTGCAGATTCTAGAAAACGACAGATATATGTTCACTATGTATCTGCCGCGGATATCAGAAAGAAATGGACCGATTTGTTGTTACAGGTAAATAAACAATATATTTTCCATTGAAAATATTTGGTCCTTCGAGCCGGATTCACGACTTTCATCATAATTGTAATAAAAATATAAATTGTATTTTTAGGGTATATATGGTCAGATTATTACCACATTCCGATTGGTCGAATTTGCCCCCCTGCGAGGGATATCAGTGTACTACAGTATGAAGAGGCACATGCCGTACAACCCACCCTCGGCGCCTACATCACTGATGTATTTTCTAAGTAAGTTTAAAGAGACTTTTTCTTATATGTAAATTTTAATATTTATTTGGATATATTCAAAGTCATCTTATATATTCTATAATTTTAGATTTATTGGAAGAGATCACTTGTTAGCGATAGGCCGACCATTGCACACTATTTTCACATATAAATTCTGGGTTAGCTTAATTAAGTAAAACATATATAGTGCGCACGTAGCGTAATATAGATCTGTATTTTCCAGTGATAGGTTCCCACCCGACTCGGAAGTAATCCTCGGAGACGGAAAATCGATTTTTGACAAAGAAGACCCTGGGATCACCCGTCCATCTTGTAAACGCTGTTTACGCAAACCGCGCCGACCATATGACTTTCCAGTACCACCACAAAAACCGACCACGACGACCGCTATACCCACTACAAGGGATGATCTGTTTGAAGAGGAAATTGACACGACTGCTGATCCGGAGATTGAAGTTGAGGAGAAGAGGGAGAGACGGTCTTATGTCGATGTTGATAGGTAAAACTTACAGCATAAAACAACCATGGAAATTGTTGAGAAGCACTATGTGTAAACTATATTTAGTTCCATCTATTTGTATTACAAACAATCCATGATATGCCAGACCGGCATACTCCAGGTTCGCTTATATTTTTCCATCTTAATTGATTTTTGACTTATATAATGCCATCGTGTGCATTATTATGTAAAAACAATAAATTTTTAATATGAGTTGATTTTGACATATCAAGAATTTATTTCGGAATTAAACCCACCGGGTCTCCATGCTAGTAATGCTTAGCAACATTTTCAGCATTGACAAAGACCTTTGTAGTTTTAAATCATTGATAAATACCTATTACAGGGACTATATGAAAAACCCGATGATGATGGATAAGTTAGTTGATGAAGAGCAAGACTGGGAGGAAGTAATCGTGAAGGACGGTCTTCTAGATCCCGCTGCCAATTATACGCTATTCGTAGAGTTGATACGTAAGTTTATTAGTCTCTTTGTTAAGTTTGGTTAATTAAGGTGACAATATTATATAATATTTGTTATTAAGTCTGGTTCTTAGACATATAGAGTCAAATATTTCTCAGACATGAGTGGATTGCTAGAACACTTTTGGCGTATACGTATAAGGTTATTGTATTTATTATATCTATGCAACTGTCACTTTATTGTTTCAGTTTTGCATAAATCTCTTCTAAAATTGAGAAATTACGGGGAAGAGTTATTTTGGGTAATAATTTCTTCATGAAAAACAGCAGATGATGTTTTTAAACGGATGTTTCGTTTCAGCTGGCAACGACCAAGATGAGCCCATATACAGCGAATATGTTAATGTTTTAATGCCGGCCGCTACCCCACGACCCTCGACCCACAATGCTACACTCGAAATTGCACTACTGGTAAAAACATACTAATGTACAAGTCACTAGTTAGGAAAGAAACAACAAAGGTTGTTTCAATTGTCAATTTGAATTGGAAATCAAATTAACATCTGAAAATTAAAAAAAAAATAAACCGGGTTTTTTTTCTTCAATTATGTTTCTACTGCTTAGAAGTCTAGGACATTGAACTTAATACATATGTTAAGGTCGAAATTACAGTGCGCGTAAAAGGCATAATTATTGATCGCTTTGTGCCACACCTGTTTCATAATACTTTTTTAAGCAGTTCTTTCAACAGTTGACGTCTCTTTTAAGATAATATGCGCTATAGCCGGTCTGGTGGTAGCAGTGATGGTAGGTGTGTGCGTGGTGCAAAGGCGTTCGTCTCGCAAACTACCACCGCATCCCCACCAGCACGCTCATCTTGAGATGAATCCCATTCAGGCTGCATTAAGGTAAAATAACATTCTTATGTGTAACGCGTAAACTTGCAATTGTTAAATTGAACACTATGTCGGAAACAAATGTTCCTTAAATTACATATATAAATCTATTATTCAAGCGGTTTACTTACAACTAATCGTTTTCATGTCAAAAATGTTTAATTACCCAGATCGTAATCTGTATTTAGATCTTTAATATAATTGTTGTATGGGTTCTTATATTATTTTTAAAATAAGTTCCGTTTCATTTTAGGTATGTTGTCGGTCACATCGGTCGTCAGACAACCGGCAGCGCCACGCCCCCCGACTTGCCACCAATACCGCGCGAGCAGCTTCCAGCCGCATACGCTGAAAGGCAAGCTGATTCGGACTATGGCTTCCAAAAGGAATTCGAGGTAGATAAGCCTTAAAAGCCATATATATAACAAAATTATTACAGCTCTTTCGGTAGTACTTTTGTATCGTCAGTTGTGTGTTCTCGTGGGTAGATGGCGCTGTGCGCAAAAGTACTTTTTAAAATAAAGTTTATTAAAAAATAGAAGCCTATTTCGTTTAAAGATAGCTCTTAAATTATATAATATTTATATATTAAACATTAAACTTGTAGACTTTCTTTATAGTTTAATTTAGAAAGTACAGTACATATTTTAGAGTATTTCTTTGTGTGACGTTATGATTGGATATTAATCGTAAAATTGCCTAAAGGAGTCTTACAGATTCTGATATGTCTATTATTTTATATATCAATTTAAAGTTTGTCGGTTTTTCGCAACATACATATAACAGAATAACTATAAAAACTTATAATGTTTTCATTAACATGCCATCACATCAATGCACGTTCTCATCTCTTTTAAACATAGACCTTACTTTACATTTTCGCGTAATATTACACAACGAATAACAAATTTTCTGTTGTAAATCTTAACAAAGGTTTTGGTATGACATGCTTTATCTTAAAAGCCAGTCTTAGCTACACCATTTTCTAACATTTTCATACTCTCGTCTAACGCTTGTAGCTTTGAGTGTAATCCTTAATCAGAACAAAACCGGGTCAAGTTGTTGCAGATGTTACCCGAGTGTTTCCCGGATAGAACGAGCCACGCGTCCGAGGCTCGCGAGAATCAACCGAAAAACAGATACCCGGATATAAAGGCGTACGACCAAACCCGGGTGAAGCTCAGTCAAGTTGACGGAATCAGCGGGAGTGATTATATCAACGCCAACTACGTTATGGGATACAAAGTTAGTATAATTTAGTACAGTCTTGTGCTTTGTCTAATATAGATTGGTAATTTTCATATTATGATTAAAGATGAGTTAGTATTTAATCTTAAGAGCAGTTTAATACTCGGTAACTATTTTACCATCACACTAGCTGTGCTCGCGACTTTGTCCGCGTAGAATTATTATTTTGACCATCAAAATGTATTTGTCAAACCTCCTTCTCGTCTTTATAAGTTATAACTGTTACCCACGACGTCGTGACGTCGTTCGTGCTGTCTTAACAGATGGACATACTGTCCTAGACTTTATTTAGACAATTTGAAGAGCAATCACTCTTACAAACATATTTTTTGGGTATCTTAAACCTATTCCGCAACGTAGATAACGGAAACCAACACTGGTTCTTCGTACCTATTGGTTGCAGCGTGATATTTATAGCCTACATCCTTACTCGATAAATGCTCTAACCAACCGAAAATAATTTTTAAATACTAACCATTTGTTTCTCAGATTAGCGCTTTCAAACAAACAAACAAACAAACAAACAAAAACAACATCTTTATAACAAGTATAGATTGTCCTTGAAAGTAATAAAAAGAAAGAAAATCATTATACATTATGTTTGTACATTAAAATCTGCTCCATTGATTTTCTACATAACTGCACTATAATAAAAAGATGCGATATTATTTGATGTGTCTTTAACAAACATTAAAATGCTTTTAAGTCTTAAACTATTAAAAGTATCACCCTATATAAGACAAAGAATACTGTGAACTTGAAAGTTGTTTTTCCTCTTCCCCACTTGTAACAATTAATGGATAAAAATATGCGTTTTATCTTTAGCTAATCTATAGTGGGTTAGATGAAATATTATAATTCATTAGTAGGTGGGATCTAAACTAAATAAGGACAACAGTAGTGCACGTCGCATGACCACTTGACAACTAATTTGCTCTCCCTACACATTAGCACTATATCTCTAACATTTGGGTTTGTCTCTGTGCTTACTAAGGACCCTGCGGACCATAACCAGGTACTGCATGAAACGCTTCTTCTCTTTGGTTCATTTCCTTTAATAATGTAGTACTACCCTCGAAATAATGATTCGTGTTTGCATTTCATGTTTTTACTTTATGCTAGAAGAGGACAGACAGAGTGTCATATGACGTTCCATCAAGCTAACCTGGTATACGCCAGCCTTATTTAAACAAGATGACCGGCGACCCTTTTGGCCTTAAGAAATCTAATTTTGTCCAGGTCCAGATAAAGGAATTAAGGAAATTTATTCCAACCTCCCATAAATTGTAAATCCCGTTTCACCGCATGTGATATGGGTCGAACATATTTCTGTGTCCGTTTCACTGATCGCTTTTTCTACAGGCTATCAGATTTCTGTGCACTGCCCGTCCGAAACAATCTATTGTTTCCCGGTATTCAAACCCACGACCTTCGTGCTCAACGCGATGCTACGCACTTCCATTTAACGAACAACCAATCAGAAATATAATATCTATTCTACCATTTGACTAACGAGCCTGCCAAAAAATGTGTGTATGTTTGCATGAGTTAAGAAGTAGCCACCGAACTTTTGTTTATTAATTTCTTTCTAAACTACGCTTTGAGTTACTACTACTATTTTTTTCAAACACTGTACAATAATTAAACGTATAATATTCGTCGTTTATAAAATACAGTATTTTTTTCTTATATTTTTATAGGAGCGCAAGAAATTCATCTGCGCCCAAGGTCCAACCGAAACCACAGTTAATGACTTCTGGCGCATGATCTGGGAGCACGGGTTAGAGCTGATCGTGATGCTGACGAACCTCGAAGAGTACTCCAAAGTGAAGTGCAGCAAATACTGGCCCGACGAAGTGCGAGGGACACGCGCCTTTGGGAACATCACAGTGCATCATGTGTCTGAGAAGCGGTATGTTTTTGTAATCAAGTCAAATGCTGTCTACTAGTTTACGAGAGTAGTACTCAATTAAATAAAACACTGTAGGTGTTTAAGAAGCTATATTTATTAGTTTAACTTATTTGGTAACTATTTTTACTACGGCCCGACATTTCGGATGCTTTGCAGCAGCCGTGGTCACGGGGAGACTACAGGGATGGGGGGGGGTGTCTCTAATGCCAAAGTAAAAAGTGCTACGCTAACGCCATGTATTCCGTCGTAGTTAATATTTTTCGTTGGTAACAAATAAGTGTTGCCAGCTGTAGACCACTTTATTTGTGGTAGAGGAGATAGACAAACAGGGGGGAAACTCGTTCACTTCATGTATTCATATTTAGCAATGCATTTATCGAGACATTCTTTCAGGTATTCCGATTACATCGTAAGGGAACTAAGGATATCGAAACAGCCGCTGAATTCTGATGGACAACCAATTGTCGAGAATAATGGTGTCGCCAAACGCAATGGAGGTAATTTAATATACACATTAAATAAGTAAGTTTTACATAACAAGTCAAAGAAAATCACATATATATGAGACATTATACAAACATTTTTTGGGAAATCCACAGTGTAGCATAGGGTGAACATAATTATGTGTCCCATTCAATGATCTGTTTTATTTAGAGGCATTGATCAAATTGCTGTGCCCTATCCGATTGATACAATTTATTGCTTTCCCGGGATTCAACGCAGAAGTTCTCGCGCTTAACGCAATGCTAGGCAACATATTTCACTATTTAGCGATATCATAGGATAGATAAATTTTTATTGTATTCCCAAAGTTATTTAATGTACTGACAAAATCGGACCTATACCCTACGCAATCGGAAGTATTTCTTGTTCTCTCGAAATTGAATCTTAGGACCTAAATGTTTAATACTCACCGCACCTACCTAATATATGAATTCAACGATATATCGTTGGATACAGATACTAGTTTGAAAAGTAATAAACATTTTGTCTTTCATAGACTGTGGCATGGGTGAGCTGAGTGCCCCAACGTCACCGCAAACGAAGGGCGAGAGTCGTCTCGTGCGCCAGTACCACTTCCTGATGTGGAAAGACTTTGCTGCGCCCGAGCATCCACACTCAATACTCAAATTTATCAAGGTAAATAAACCAATTATAAATATTATACCAAATTTAACAACAAGCAATTATATGCTCGCAGTCGACTCGGATTCGATTCCCACCGGGTCTAACATATCTCTAAAAAGCTACTCATATTTTTCCTGAAAGGTGTTAGAGATCGTCTGGAAGATTTGGACTTTTAATGGGTTTTAGAAATATCTAAGTGTTATCCTAACAATAATCAACGGCCAGATATGAAAAAGCCGTTAAGTGAGCTTTTGGTTTTAGTCTATAGATTTCCAAACTAAAGCATTTGAAAAAAAAGTTCGACAACTTAATTTCTAATCAATTTCATTAATGCTTTGCTGTGCATTGTGGTGACAATGGGACAACATTTAGCATTTCAAACCGTTTAATCTGTTTTAGTAAAATGTGTACTACAAGCATAAATGACCTAAGCCAATTTGGTAATTCGAACTATAATTTTTTTAACAAAGAAATGTTTCCCTTACAGCGCGTGAATGAGGCGTGGTCGGTCGCGGTATCCAGAGAGGTCGTAGTTCACTGCTCGGCCGGTGTCGGACGAACCGGGACACTAGTTGCTTTAGACTGCCTGCTTGAGCAATTGCGCGACACCAACTCGGTGTCTGTTTTCAACTGTGTCGCCGAATTACGCTCGCAGAGAAATTTCCTCGTACAATCATTGGTAAGATCTGTTCTAGAACGCTCTACGACTAAGTTCTTAGTCTCTGTGCTGTCTAAATTACTCTGATAAGAACTTAGATTGAAAAACAAAACTACACGGGCGGGACTTTTTTTTCGAGAATTTGTATCCACGGCGTTCCGCTGCTCAACGTTTTTTTTACAATCTATATAGATTTTTAATTTATATAATGCTATTATGTGCAAAAAATAAATAGTTTTCAATAATTTAAAATGATGAAACAAAAATTCTCATAATTTAGGAAATAAATTACTGATGTAAATTTCGTTGTATTGTGTATAAGTTTGTTAAAAAATACAAAACTAGTCTTTTAAATAAAACACTTTAACGGTTTAAAACGCGATATGGTTTTAAACCGTTAAAGTGTTTTATTTAAATGTGTACTACTCGCGTAAACTATAGACAGTATTTAAAACTAGTCTTTAATAATATTTTAATAAAACGGGTTAAGGTTTAAAGGGGAAATATATTAATCTTCCGTACGTTCGGACCCTTTGCAGTAACTGTTGTTACGGGGAGAAATGTCGTAAAAAAATATAAGTTACTCACAGTTACATATTTCGCCTTTTAAACCGTTATCATCATATTGGAGCCCCTTTGTTCCAAGTCGCTTTCGATGTCGACCATCCTGTGCTTTCTATTTCAAGTTCTGGACGCCCCAGATGTCCAGGTCCTAAGCAACTCCCTCCAACGGTTTAAACCGTTCTAATTAAACAAGCACTACTTATGTAAACTACAAACATGAATAAACTTTACAGAAACAATACGTGTTCGTCTACCGAGCGCTAGTGGAGTACGCGCATTTCGGCGACACGGAAATCCCAGCTTCGAGGCTGAAGAGCGCCATCGACAGACTGCGGAATACTCCCGAAGGAAGCGACAAGAGCTTGATGGAAATGGAATTTGAGGTATTTTCATTTTGTTCTTGTTATCTTTTCCCAAATTCTAATCTTCAGCAATTAAGAATTATTATTAGTTGCCCATTATAAAAGCTATGATATATTAAAATCTATTATTTAACTACGTAACATGTTAAGGAGTTTTAAACGCTGTTTAACTTAAATATATCGCGTTTTAAACCGTTAATTTTGTTTTATTTAAATGAGTACTACTCGCGTAAACTACAGGCAGTATTTACTCATCCCGAGTCAAAGTCTACATGGGGCTTAAAATTAGACGTTACCAATTGCTGAAACAGAAGCCATTCAACACGGATTTTCAGTGGCACCCGACGAAACCCCTTCTAGAGAAACGATTTGCTTCCAAAACAACAACACATATACACCAAACATAACTTAATAAATAATTAAATTGACAAAAAAATAACATTGATAGACGAAAAATTTCTACATCTTTCCTTTCTTTTGTTTGTTATTAGAAATTGATCCGTGCGCCCGTGATCGAGAGTGCAAAATCGTGCGCGGCCGGCGGCGGGGAGGAGGTGAGATCGAGGAATAGGTCTGTGGAGTGTCTCCCGTATGACAGGAACCGCGTAATTCTGGCACCACTGCCCGGACGGGACTACTCGACTTACATAAACGCGTCGTTCATTGAAGGTAAGTGAGAAATAAAAGATGGGTTCCACAACACAATACTATACATCCACATTATAGATTTTATTGATTAGACTTATTTATTATTCCCTAAAAATAAAGCAAGTTTAATGTCTAGCTATCCTTTAAGAAAACAGAAAAATTGACAATTATTTTTAGATAAAACACTTTAACGGTTTAAAACGCAACGAAGTTAAAAATCATTTTCAAATAAGTTTGACTAATATATCGCGTTTACACCGTAAAATAGATATTTAAATGTGTACTACTCGCGTAAACTTAGACAGTTTTAAGTTTTTTTATGTTTATTGTTCAACTGTAAATGTTCCCGTCATTAAGTCATATTTCATTTTAGAAGAATTTAATATTTTCCACATGACATTATATTAAATACAAATCTATTTGGATTAAAAAAAAGGATTACAAAACAGGGGGGACTTAAAATGTTAAGGTTAAAATTAAATTGTGCGAGAGATGCATATAAACAATGGATTGTGAGTAATTCAACGATGACGTGTGGATGTCGTCAAGTCCCACCCGTCTCGTTACATGTTTAAATCTATATTTAGTGATACGTTGTGTCCCAGGTCAAAGATGGATATCTTTTTATTATATTAATTATTCAAATTACGTGACATCTACCAACATCAATGACATCATGCAACTCTAATAACAAAGTAATTATATTTTTGTAGGTTACGACAATTCTGAAGGTTTCATAATCACGCAAGACCCGCTGCCCAATACCATCATGGACTTCTGGCGAATGGTCTCCGAGCACAATGTCTCCACCATTGTCATGCTCAGTGAGGTGAGTTATCCAGAAGACACTGAATGTTTATCATCATAATCAGCTCCAAAACTTCTAATGCTGGACATGGGCGTCAATCAGGTCGAACGGCCCATACCTTTATTCTTCTTCTTGCTGCTGGTTAGCCTGAATAGTGTGTGTGTTTGTGCTGTTTGTAGGTCCAGTCCATATTTCTTATGAAAGAGGAGGATAGATGGCTTTCACACATTTTTACAGCCATATATCTTTATATAGTCTCTTTTATCTTTTATACGGCTTGAAATCATGTTTAGAATACTAATTCTATTGTATAATATTTTATGCCATTTCCAGTTGGGTGAAGGCAAGTGTCCCCGGTACTGGGACGACGGCACGGTACAATACGAACACATTTCCGTCGAGTACGAAGAGAGCGAATCGTGTCCGTACTACACGCGCAGACATTTTACTGTTACGAATAATAAGGTAATTGTAAAGTTTAAATAACACCCTTTTTACTTTTAATCGATGTATATATTAGCTAACTTATTTACAATTTATTTTATTATCGAGGTCCCCTCGTGTAAAGCATCCGAATCTGTGACAACTCGGACAGAAAAAAGTAACACACAAGGACAAACAAAACACTAACGTAAACATTTACTACTATTTTTCAAATAAAGAGCCAGAAAACGAACGAGAAGAACTGGCAAGAAACTCGCCGCTAAAATATATATATATATGGATAAAGCTTCACGCACTTTAATTATACTACTTTTCTTTTAAGGGATTACTACCTTTCTTAAAGTGAAGGGTTATAACTAATGTCTAGCACTGTTATAATGTTAAGCCTTAACCTTTGTTTATACCGAAATACATGTGTATTTGTGTCCGTAGAGTGGCGACTGGTGTGCGGTGCGGCAACTGCAGTATCACGGCTGGCCGACGGCCGCCGGCCACGTACCCGAAGTGACCCGGGGGCTCTGCGAGCTGGCTGAACGCGCCGCGCCCTGCGACCCCGCGGACAACAACACGAGGCCTGTACTCGTCCATTGCCAGTGAGTATTCAAAGTTATTGAAATATGATAGCATATAATACCGTTTTTCATGTGGAGCACGCGGCAGACATACATCAGGCATACTTCTGTGTCTCTTTCACTGTACACAATAAATGTAGGTTGATGATTTCCCACGATTTTACAGCAAAATATTTCGCGCTTAGTTATTCGTCTTTATAGTGAAATTTTAATTCAATGTAAATATGTTAACTAATATAATTTGCGTTTTAAACTGTTAAAAGCGTTTCATTCTAATGTGTACTAATTTAAATAACAGATAAATCCTTCTAAAATGTTTCTACAAATCTAATAGTTTTTCCAAAACTAAATCTATACATTTTGTGCCTCTTTGAGATTTCAATATACCGTAGTTTTTTTTATAACATGTACAAAACGAAACAATCCATTTAGGTACGGCACTGAACGGTCAGCACTATTCGTCGCGCTGTGCATCCTAACGTGGCAACTCCGCGTGGAACGACGCGTCGACGTAAGCGCAGTCGCCAGGAAGTTACGCTCGCAGCGCACAAACACCATTGACACCGTGGTGAGTATATATTATTTAGGATATAGGATGACAGGGTAGGGTAAAAAGTCACATATGTTAAAAATGATAAATAATTTAAATAAAAAACGCTCAAATAAAAAATTACTATTTTCACTATGGTCACATGACACAAAACGCTCCTGTTTGGTCGGATTTATGAAGGTGTCACTTGCTTTTAAACAGTGTTAGAACTGTTCTATTCTCTGCATTAATAAATACATAAATTTATTAATGCAGAGTGATTGATTAATCATAAATTCACCAATGTAAATGTTTAGTGCTAAATGTATTATTAGTTCTATTTCGTAGAATTATATGTTGGTTTTTCATTTGATATATTTCAGCAAATATGTACAGGAATTCAGAAAACCTACTTTTCTAGGGTCCAGTCAAATAATAAAGAAAACATAAAAATCACTCCAATAGCCCATTATGTATTTTTGATATCAGAGGATAACGCCAAACAAGATAGGGTATTTCTTGTAAAATTCTAAGATTAAAATATATATATATTATATATATATATAACAATATAAAAAACGTAAACCTTATACTTAAAAATAAAACTGTGGCACCTCGGGTTCCATACTCAGCTGAATGCTGCAGTTTATCACTTTGTTTAGTTTGTTTGCTTTACAAAAAATCTTAATTGTTCACAGCTCCAATATGAATTCCTCCACCGTGCCATACTGAACTACGCGGAGCTTCATAATCTACTGGACGACAGCTAAACAAGACCAGATCTCACACTATGAAGGAAGACGTCGCCTCGAATTTTAAATCTGACCATTTTATACTGACTGTAAACAAATTTTGACTTTTAGAATGGGATGTACTTTTTTCTCATTGGCAAAAACGTATTTCCATGATTTCAAATTTCAAGCAATTTTTTATAAGGATATCGCGGCCATTTTGGAAAGATCCTCGAATTGTCGAGGCTGTCGTCGAAACGTCGAGACAGCCCCAACAATTCGAGAATTTCTCAATTACGACGGTCGAACAGCTCGAAACATTATGAACATGAATGAACTTATTTTAACAATCTCAGTAAAGAATATTATTTAAAGCCAGTGAGAAAAAAATAATCTAAACACGAAGGGGGGAGGACTAGTGCGTTATACAAGCGTTTTTATATTGTCTATATGACGTCTGTAAACGGCCTTTTTTGTACTTTTTGTATTGTGTATACAGGATTAATTTAGGTGCTAAATCAACAAATTCGCAATTTATGATTTGAAAATGATATTACCCCAGCAGCTTCTCGAAATATTGTGATCTGAGACTTCGTTTGAATACATTTGTATTTTGTTATGTTTTGTTTTTCGTAAGTTTTACAGAGATTAAGATAATTCCTAGTTGTAAGTGGCATGACCGCCTATAGACGCTTGAGACCTGCTTTGCGAGCGTATTAAAAATTATTTTATGTCGGTATTTTTCAACTGCGAGTAATCAAATCGTAGAATAACTATTTTAGATGAAAATTATACGGTAATCTAACCAATAGACAGTTAGTCTACGATTTTATTAATCCCAGTTAACTACCAATCGAAACTATGTCCAAAGAGAATATTGTATTTATTTTTGGTAAAGTAGCGGCCATACTGTGCATTTTGTGTTCGTTTTTTGGATCCTAACGAAGAACGTACAGGTTTATAAAACCTTTTTGGCCAAACGCGACTACCCTAAGCACAAAAGGGCGTGCATATTGAATATCATTGTAAATAAAAACACTAGTTTTTGTATTTAAAACAAATTTAAGTAGTATTTTAGTAAACATCGTTATGTGTTTAAATAAAACACTTTTAACGGTTAGAAATTCAAAATACATTAGTTAAAGTAGTTTAACTATTTATTTCGTATTTTAAACCGATAAAATTGTTTTATTTAATACATCGGTAGGTATTTTAAAAATCCATATAATAGTTATTGGCCAGAGTTCAAGATAATAGTTAAAATTCATATCCAATTGTGTAGCTCAATCGAACAAGTTATTTAGAAGGAAATCTCTATCAAACGCTGTAAATAACCATATTTGATAAAATAATTCAGTATGCACGACTCCTTACAAATTTTCGATGTATTTTTACCAATTTATTTTTGTCGGCGGGTAGGGTACCGCTAGTATGACTGTTCACATTTTAAGTAGGTTTAAGGATTTTTGTATGAGCTAATATGTTATAAGTGTAACTGTGATGGCGATTGAATGCACTTAATTCTACGCAGAAACTAGCTGTTTCAGCGACTTCGTCCGCACATATTTTTTGGGTATCTTGACCCGTCTTTGCAGCGTACGCCTCTGAAACCCATGATGATGAATGACTTTCCCAATTTTTTTCACATTTCCCGCTATATCTTCGTATTAATCACAGGGCGATGTTTTATAGCCTATAGCTTTTTAACGAACCCGTGGTGTCTGAGATTAGCGCGTTCAAACAAACTCTTCAGCTTTATATATTAGTATAGATTATAACGAACAAATAAACCAAATTATTCTAGATTGGTACAGTTTTTAATAAAAAATAGTATAGAATATATTTTTTGGAAGAAACTAATATAAATTATAAATACATTATTCCCATAGATCCTACTTACAATTTTAACATTTTCCAATTCAATAGCTATGTAAGAATTACCACACCTACCCAATTACCTACAATCACCCTGAATCTATGTACAGTTTTAATGTAAAATTCGATCTTTGCTCGTCGCGGTAAAATTAATATTATTTCTGGACATATCTCAATGACGTCACAGTTACACGCCATTGTAAAGACTAGGTTAGGCTTAGATGTAGGGAGGATTTTTATAAAACGTGCTAAGTAACGGAAACTGGCACAAACATTTGTCATGTAAATTATTTTATACGAAAAAGGAGGACATTATTTTGTAAGACCCCAGCCATAACATACAAACAAGATGCGATGTCGCACTGGAAAAATTTTCACGGTTTAAAACTCGAAATGTTATTAGTTATCTTCTTTTTTTTAGTTTAAATTCGGCTCAACGTTTCGGATGCTTTGCAGCAGCTGTGGACACGGCGGGCCGTAGTTGAATAAGTAAACTAATATTTCGCGTTTTAAGCCGTTAAAATTTATTTAAATGTATATTCCTCGCGTAATCTATAGAAACCAACGATTTATCGTGAAGAAGAAGAAGATTGAAATTGATTGTTAGTTTATTTTAGTATCTTCTTACACTATCATCGTTTTACTATTTTAAACTACACAATGTTTCCGAAGATTTCATTGCTGCATGTTTTATAAATATCTAGCAGGATAGATCGGCGTGTATCTTACCAATGAGGCTCTGTAATTCTAATACTCAAAATAACATTGGCAATATAAGCTTCGCACAAATTTTTAACTCGACCGCTTTAGTTTCTCCTCAAATTGAATTAGCTCAGAATTACCAAGTAACTTATTTTATTCATTTTTCAAGGCGGCCGTTTTGTAACGCTCGGGTTCAAGCTGTTCGACCTTCGTAATCGAGAAGAACATAAAACCGAACAGCTCTGAAACCAAAATAGCTTACTTTTATATTTTTCTCAAGAATTTGTATTGCCATAATTTCAAATCGATCTCAGTTGTGTTCAAAGTCGATACACGCCGGTGAGAGCGACTGACGTTCGAGGTTAGCGTATAAAGGAACGGCGTAGATATGACTTTTTTATGAAACGTTAACCGTTAGTTAGATTTCGTACAGTGGCGTGGTTACGTAAAATGTTGTACTCGCAGGCCTAAGTTGAAAGGCGCCTTTTAATTCCTCTCCAGCCCACCTGTCAAATGAACGTTACCTTACTACGATATTCCATTTTACGTATCACCACGCTGTAGGAGTTCAAATTAAAAAAATGTTAATGACTTTTTTATATGAATTTCAAAAATACATCATCACCGTAGGTCTTCAGTTGATTAGTCTATCTATATCTTCTCTTTCTCCTACATATTACTTCTAGTCTTATTCTGCTGCCAATTCTAATCCGCAATTCCTTACTGCCCCCGGGTTTCATTGGGTTTCAATGTTGAATTGCTTATTACATTTCAATGTGTAGCTATGCTTATCTATATTTTTATTTCTGTTCTATCAGAACTTAGGCGCTAGCTTTTTGTAAATATACAATGTAACGTGTAGTTTCCCGCGCAAACGATCTACTTTTTTGTGTATTGTAGGTGTTTTATTTTGTATTGATTATATTCGACGCAGTTCTTTCGATGTAAGTTATGTTTTTATTTTTGTAAATAGGTAATGCCGGTCATGTAATATGATATTTTTGAAAATATACCAATATTTAGAAATTTGGTGTCTATCAGTTAAAATCTTTAGTCGAACGCCTAATATTTACTGTTATGCCTAAATAAAAAAAACTTATAGAAGTTATTTTTTTTATGACAATGAAGAGCAAAAAATAATAGGATTTTATTGCATGGTAAGTAAAATACAAAGCCGTCTTTAGTACTCAAACCAAGATGAGATTCGTCGCGGATTTCTCAACTAAGACGGTGGTTCGTAACGAAGACGAAATTTCGATGATCCTACCGCCCAATAAATACATTTTTTCAGGCAATAGTGAGTTGCTTCAGAAAATGTATAGATAGATTACAGAAATATTTTGGACTTGGAGGTAGTCAAAAGAACGATCATCTACATTCTGTACCAAATATATACAAATAATGTTATAATTGCATCTTATCATTTCAGGCACCAGGCTCAATTTGCTCTATGTATTTGGATATCAATTGGAAACAAAAAAAAAACTACCAACATTATCTATTTCGTTCAAAATTTAACCTATATAATATTTAATAATTCAAAATTTGTTTATGATTGTTTCTTTTCATACAAATAAATTGTTTTATTCGTTTAATAGTACAAGAACTAAGTGGAAAGTATGAATTACTTATTTGACAAAAATAGTATGTACGTTGAACCTACCTACGTAGTACTTTTCAATTATGTCCAAATAAAACACAGTTATTGATTTGGCAAACTGAAATATATTTATCTTGCGGTGGTTTCACATACACTCATATAAGAAGGGAAATAAAGCTTTGGAATAAATAGTCTAAAGCAAATCAGTCTTGAAAACAACTACATATCGCGGATTCACTTCTCCCCGTTGGCACTAGCCTGCGACGTCTGATCCTTGATCTCCTTCCTCACTGGTCCCGTCTGTGCGATGGGAACCGATCTCTCGTTCTTCAACGCAGGTGCACTTTTCGGGGCGAATACTGTGAGCACGCCATCGGAAGAGAGCCGCGATTCCACTGCTTCTGGGTTGCACCCATCAGGGAGAGCATATCGTCTGGTGAACTGACGCGAAATAAAACCGTGTTCGTCCTTCTTCTCCTCGTGCTTACCCTCGACCACAATGTAACCGTCAGCCGTTTTAACCGTGATGTCTTCCGGCGCGAAGTGCTGTACGTCTAAGTTGACTTGGAACTTATCTTTGTCAGATTTGATGGTGGAGCCCACATCACGTGCAGCAGCTGCAAGTTGGCGCCAGGGTCTGTAGTAGTCGCGGGACAGCATCGGAGCCACAGCGGCAGTAAGTAGATCGTCCGGTGTTAAAGCCAAGCCGAAATCCTGGTCCAAGATACGGTGAGGGTGTTCGTAACCAAGGATGAATGGTAGTAGAGACATTTTAGCTGATTGAGACTGTTTTTACTCAAAATTACTTGTTTGATCACTGTGCGTTTGCACTGAGTTGTGTTCGCTATCGCTCTCGAAATAAAACTTGTCGAAGCGCCGGCCGGTGCCGCTCATATATGTAAGAATAGCGCCATCTAGTAACGGGTAGAAATATCTAGAAATTCGTTGAGAAGAACGCTCGCGAGAATGTTCCTGGGCGGTCTAGACTTTTCGAGATCTGATGTCATTGTTTGACATTGTATCGTTAATTCGGTACACGTCAATAAACATACTTAAGCATAGATTATAATATGATTATCTCAACCCAATTATTATTGTGTATTTTTAATTTGTTAGTGCTTTAGTGTTTTCTGGTGGAAACTTGTTATGCCTGTAGACTTTACGTTAAACTTCAGAATCATGAGGAAACTTAAAATATTATTTTTTACTAAACTATTTCGACTTGATGACTAGTGGCATTAAAAATACCTACAATATCAGGAATAGGCGATACTCATTTTAAAAACTTAAATATTTTTATATGTTTAATAATTTAAATAAAAATTATAATATAATTAAAAATAACATTAAGGCCCTTGGATTAATTGCAAACAGCACGGACCGCTGTGGATGCCGGTTCACCCGTGTCGTGGAAATTTTGCCCATTTATAATCTATTTTTATTTTATACTGATTTTATTCAATAACTTACTAGAAAGTCTTTAGTTTCCATAAAAAATATATGGTTTGAAACGTAACATATATAATATGAAAACGTTTTATAAATAATGTCTGAATTATCAAAATTAGTGTCATTTATTCTTTTTATAAGGGGTCATCCATAAAGTACGTCACACAGATTTCATGACTTTTAGAGCCGCCCGTGAGGTGAAGTGACGTGAAATGGTCACATTTCTGAGACCCTCTCCCTGGTGTGACGTCACATGTTTTGCAATTTCACATCGAAAAATTATTAAATTAAAACAGCAGTTCTGACATTAGTTTTATTTCCATTTAAGTGAAGTACTTTTTTTATGAAATCAATATTATATGTCAAATATTTGAAACAAAGCAATAAACTATTAAATATAAAGAAAAAGAAGAAGAAAGAAACTCAATCATCTTCAGTCCATGGACTTTGAACCCACTCCTTTAAATTATTTATAACTGGCATGGCAGTCACTACGAATTTTTTTGTTCTTAATATTTCAAATCACGCGATTAGTACCTCTAGATACATTAGATTTTAAAACGAGATGACACGAAGCTTAGGAGTTAGGACCCCTCCCACCTCTTGTCACACCATGTCACACTTTGTTGACCCCTAATGTGTAATATCTTTTGATGGAAAAATGTAAAAGTTGCTTTACCTTGCAGGTTATTGGCGTATTTTATAAAACCTGTAAGACATAAGAATAACAATGATAATACATTTATATAATTTCATAAATCTTATATTATCCATTTTGTTATTATAAATTTAATTTTACAATACTTAAAAACTCTCGACGTATATGAGTAAACATAAACAATAAAAACAAACAGTTTTTAACGCGTACATAAAATTATTTATTTATAACATAGCTATTGAAACTCCTTTAAGGTATACAATAAGGAGATGGTGAACTTTGTAGAACTTTCTCGGAACCTTACTCTAGAATCGACGAGAAATTATATTGATCGTCCATGAACTTGTTTTACCTTACACAATTATACAAAGATGATTGTAGGTCAGTGACAAAAATTCGTCTATCCACCGCTAGATGACACTAAGCTCAATAGATCTATTGAGCTGCAGTGTCAAACAATAAAACTAAAAAAAATACATTTCCACTAACATACATTATCGAATTATTTATAAAATTAACCTAAAAATATTTAACAAAAACATTGATGTGCTGTAATTAACGTTAATGATAATGCAACGATAACACGATACCGATTGATAAAACGAAAAGGACACGTCAATTTTCGAGAAAAGTCTACTGTACGCTAGATGGCAAAACGGGTATATAAAAGATAACCGCGCGGTTCTTGCAGTATTTGAAATCTAAAGCAATACATCAATACACGAATGATTGATTGCGGTTTGGATATCCTGCGATTTGTAAGTTTCATTTTAACTTTGATAAAATTACAAAATGAAGGCGTTGGCTTACATTTGTCTCTTAGCCATCATATTTACCACCGCTCACAGTGAGGAAAAATGTGAAAACAAGAACCATCGGCTCTTTGATCAAGAATTTGGTATGGCTTTAACTCCAGACGATTTAATAACCAGCATGATGTCTCCGTGGATGTTTAGAGACTATTTCCGACCCTGGAGATTCCTTGACGCTCTAGCTCGCGATGTAGGATCCACAATCGTTAGTGAAAAAGACAAATTCCATATAAACCTGGACGTGCAGCATTTTTCACCGGATGAAATAAATGTCAAAACAGCAGACGGATACGTCGTAGTCGAAGCTAAGCACGAAGAGAAGAAAGATGAGCATGGCTCAATTTCGAGACAGTTTGTAAGAAAGTATTCTTTACCGGAAGGTGTAGAATCAGAAGATATTGTCTCCCAACTGTCAAGTGATGGAATTTTAACTATCACAGCGCCCAGGAGAGAGATTGATTCAAAAGGCGAAAGAGTCATTCCTATTACACAAACTGGCCCAGTTAGGAAGGAGGCAAAGGAAGCTAAGGCACCTGAGGGTTCTTGCCAAGCTAAAGACGAGAAGTGTGGTGCCTAATCTCAATAGTAATTTTAGTTGTGTGGCATTTAATATTAAGACTGATTTATTTAATAAACCATCTTGTTAAATGCTGTGTTTCATTAGAAAAACCATTCAAATAATAATTTACTAATTTGCAAAATGCATTAAAATAATAATAAAATTAATCTGTGGTTTATAATAATCTATCTTTATTTCGGCTTTACGACGTGTCACTGTCAAGTTTTATCTCTAATTCTGTCATGCCTGTCAATACCTGCCTTTTGTTTACATTGTTGGTTTATTTTAGAATATTATAAGAAAAAAGTACCTAATTTTTGTTTTTATAAAATGGTAAATTATTGTTGTGTTGTTGGCTGCGGACGCAACAGTAAAAATAATAAACAATTAAACTTCTATAGCTTGCCAAAACAGCGGCGACGGTAAGTTGAATACTAAAAAGAGTTGTATTTAAAACGTGAAATAAAAAGTGTTTATTTGTTTAACAGTCAGAAACAATGGCTTAAAGCAGCCGGTAAAGAAGATCTATTAGATCAAGATATGGAAAATTTAAGAAAAAAGTTAAGATTTTGTTCGAGGCACTTCACTGTTTCTAGTATTAAGAATAAACATCTCAACGTCTATGCAGTTCCAACTCTTAGGTTGCCAGGTTCTGCACCAGGTATTGTGAATGGTTTCTGTGGTTATGTAAACAGTAAACATATTTACTATTAATAAATTAATTATATCTTTTATAGAACAAGATGCTCTGCCATCAGTACATGAGGGTATATTTTGTAATGTGTGTACGGAACGAATCATTGGATTTCGCTATAAGTGTGTCACATGTGATAATTTTGATATTTGCCAAAAATGTGAAATGCTGGAAATACATGAAGAACACTATATGTTGCGAATACCAAAGCCCTTGAAATTTGTAAGTATGTAAAAACTCAGTTACTTAAATAGCATATCATCATAATTATCTATTATCAATAATCATTAAATTACATATGAGGCCCCTAGAGCCAGAGTAGCCTAATTGCATTTTTATGACTTGACTTATTTATATTGATTATTATAGTCAAAAAATATTAATCTAAAAGCGCACAGTGACCGAAAATTGTTAAAATAATCATTACACAAATAATAATACAAATTCATTTTTGCCTAAGTTAAATGTGGATTTTAATTTTACTCCTTATTGCAAGTCATGTTTTTCAAGGAGGCCCCACAAATTTGTTTTTCAATATTTATTTTCAAATATGTGTATTTCTGTTATAGAAATTAGCTGAAGACCTAATAAGCCGATGGCGTGAGATATTCCCAGAAGATCATCAAACAAAGCAAGGCTTTGAAGACAGTAATTCAAGTGACGATGAACCCATAACTAAATATCTCAAAAATGAAAACTTTATAAATCTATCTCAAGATGTCAAATATGAAATCAAAGATGAAATTCAACGGGCTATGAAGTCATTACGAACAAAACGAGATAAAGAAAAAATGAAGACGAAGGAAACTGACAATGTTACAAATTTCATTGATATTACTAAATCTCTTACGCCTATAATCTCCACAGGAGATAACATAACGTTAACTGCAACTCAAGAGAGAGATTTTAAGAATGAACATGTTCAAAATACTGTAATAGCTGAAATACCGCCACAATTGATCTTTGCCGATACTAGTGAAATGAAATATGAAGATGTTAAAAGTGAAACTATGGCATCTTTATCTGTTGTTAATACAAGCACAGTTGCAGGTATCAACTTTTGTATATTATTTATAATTGGGTGTCTAAACGTTGACGTTGAGTAAATGAAACACTTGAATGTTTGAAATGTGAAATATACTAGTTAGCTTAATTTTTACTTACAACCTCCCATTTCATTTGCTTTGTTGTAGCTGTGGTCATGGAAGGACTAGCAGGCATCTATAATTTAAAATCTACTATGCTTATAGATATTGTGTTTAAATTGGTTTTAAATGTTTTTTAAAGTTATTACTACTTTTTTAGAACTATTTTTAATGTATATAATTTAAGTTTAACTTATACTTAAAGCTTTTTATTGTTTTAGGTCAAATACAGCCCGTCATTTATTTGAAGCTAAATGATGTCCTCACAGAACTGATGATTACTCCTAGTGATCAGAATACTACTTCCAGTGATATCTTTCACAGCAATTGAAGAGTGTAAAATAAAACAATGGCACAGAATGCGAACCTATCAGTTTCAAAACCTTTTCAGCAGGTGTCGCCACTCTTAAACTATAAAGGGTTTTATTTTGTTTGTCAACTAAACTACAGAGAATACTTAATTAAAGTATGTTTTATTATATGTTTTATTTTTATAAAAGTAGAAGGAATCCACATAACACAACAAATGTTTTAATTTAGGCTAGAATTATTTTTGATAGAAAAGGCATTATTTGCACGCTTTGCTGCGGTTTTACGTTGACGTGATTTAGTACGTAAATACGGCTTTCTAAAATCATGTACAGTAACAATGAAGAGAAAGACTATACTTGCTTTTAATTTTATAAAAGAGATCTTAATTCTTTATTTATTAGTATTTTAAAGACTGTCTCTAGTCTTACAAGTCTAGTCAATTTCTATGACGAAGTATAGAATGTTTGGTGCAATACAATTCAGTCGTTTATTACACCTAACAAAAATATATTCAATAATACTTCACATTTTCTAACGTTTTAAAAGTAGCGACGCGGATCTTGGCCAAACGAATCCTGTGCAGAAAACAGACATAAGGTATCGAAGGGACGAAACCGGGCGCGGGGCGAGTTGTGTCCTATTGTCTCTCTCGGACCAATACGACGCTCTGCTTACTTCTCGATCTCGAGTACAGTCACGTCTTCCAATTAATTATGTGCGCGATTGTACAGATGTGCAACTATACCTTCTACATTTTGGTCCCCGCGACATATATTAGCTTAATAAAATATAAATAAAATGAAATTTTAACATCAAGTTAATTGCAGAGGAATAAGCAAGGTAATTGACAGTGCAAAGTCTATAGTTTTATTCCCTTTGAGCTCCTCTGACTCTGTTGAACTTATTTGGAATTTTACAGACTTGACATTGACGTTTAACGTTATACCGGTACAATACACTAGTAAAGTGTAAAATGTACTTTAAAGTTTTGATTTGGTGTTCTCGTTTTGGTTTGAGTTGAAAGTGAATCAAAAAGTAGTCTTATTTTAAAATACTATTAAAAGTTGCACAAACTAGTAATTATAAATTGAATTGGAATAATATTATCTACATGTGGCTTTGTTGACTTGGTAATTGTGTTGACTACTTAGCAATGGAGTATGATACTAGTCAACCTGCGCCTCCAGGCGTGATAAGCCCTTCGGTAAGGCAAAGCATTTTTAATTCACTCCTCATTTCTAAATGTAATGCTGAACGCTTTTTGCCAGAGTTAGACTTATTACTCTAACCGACCAAATGTAAATTACTGTAAAGCTTCTTAAATTTAGTTTTAACTTATAAGTTAATTATTATTATTTTTTAAATATATCAGTATAATTTTGTTGTTCAACCATAATATTTTAAGATCTATGGAGGGCTATAGTGAGGGTCTGACCTATTTAATAATCTCTTTGCAGCCTCTTAATAAAGAAAGTTCTACTCCCAAAACCACCTCATCTTTTGTGCCCACAATTCTACCTACGACTAAAGGTGTGGAAAATGCAAAAAAGAGGCTTCGGGCTTTCTCGATTCAGAAAAAGGCTCCTCTTACTCCTGTTATGGCTCCAAAGCCCACTGGATCGGGTAGTAAGTGTTTTTACTTGTGTTTTGTTATATATGTCTATATGGTTTGATGTCAACACCTGTTGTGCTAAAAATGTGTCTCTTAGTATATTCAAAGATATGTTGATAGAGCATTTAGTCTAGTGAAATGTCGAATGTTCAGACACTTTACTTTTTATGAAAAGTTAATTCACCTACTTTTTCCTAGACCTTTCAGAAAATATGCATTTCATTCTAAAAAAATACTTATGTTGATATAAATCATTTTCAGATACCATGGTTTTAATTGGTAAACTTAGCGGAGTGAAGGTGACCCCTAAAAGGGAAGAAGAACAGGATGCTAAGATTCCAAAATTACCTAAACCACCTAAGCCTGGAGCTGTCAGGAAAGCATTGCAAGGTAGACAAAATAATACTATTATTATTACAATATTCAATTAAGAAAGGATAGACGATCAGTCCCTGGTCAACTGCTGACTATTTCACCACCTCCCCTAATTTTACCATTTTTAATATATACATACCTGTTTCATTGTAAAAATTTAAATAGAATTTTGTTGTAATATATCCATTTGTTGATCTATGAGGTTCTTACAATGAGCTGCAAAAACAAACACTGGCAGAAATTGAAGACATGAAGAGGAAAATGGAGTTGGTGGACCTTGGCATCCCATTAGGACTGATTTGTCCAAGTTCTACGAGTGACAAAGCAATGCCTACAAAATCCATGCCACCTATCAAATCTTTTATAGGTTTGTACTAAATATTCTCTGTAGTTCACGCAACAAGTAGTTATATAAATACACTACTAAGAACTAAATAGTTTGTTCAATTAATGAAAATATTAATGTCTGAAACATTGTTATTTTAAAAATCGAAAATAAATTGAAAAAATTTTTTCGACTCGGGCAGGACTTGAACCGGCATCGTCAGCTTTCCGTGCTGTTGCTCTACCAATTGAGCTACCGAGTCCTACACCTCATCGTCGAATTTTTTCAACTTATTGATACATGCACCTCTCGCGCAATGTAATTTCTACCTTAACACTTGCGTATTAAGGCTCAATGTCTTATGCTTTGCAGCTTAAGAAATCATTGAAGATGAAATTACAAAGTTATAACGTTTGAAAACATTAATATTTTTCACATGTTATTGCACATGAAGGCACTATATAATTTAAAAATCGAAAATAAATTGAAAAATATTTTTTTACATTTTTTTACATTGCGCGAGAGGTGCATGTATCAATAAGTTGAAAAAATTCGACGATGAGGTGTAGGACTCGGTAGCTCAATTGGTAGAGCAACAGCACGGAAAGCTGACGATGCCGGTTCAAGTCCTGCCCGAGTCGAAAATTTTTTCAATTTATTTTCGATTTTTAAATTATATAGTGCCTTCATGTGCAATAACATGTGAAAAATATTAATGTTTTGAAACATTGTTACTTTTTTTTAATATACCAATCATTATTTAAGATTTAGAGGTTTTAAAAATATTTAATACAATATGCAATTAGGTCAATATCATGTTTGCTCTGGACTGTTTCAACACCCTCGTCATGCACAAAAGTATAAAACCAATTGTGAGTCTGAGCAAAGTTGTAGTTAGAAAGGATCTAAGAGTTCTTGTGGTATATGGATTAGTTTCATTATTTGTGTAGAAATATTGAGTATGTAGAATTTTGAAGGGCTGAATGATGATAAATATTGATATAAACTAATTAATATTATTCTAATATTTAGAGTAGAGATATCTTGTAATCCCTTACTCTTTACTAGTTTATTTACTTATAAATAGTAGGAATTTTGCCTACTTAACGAAATTTACTTAAACTTTTCAGATCCAGCAAAAGTGGACGAAATAATTCGTGAAGCAAAGAAAGCCAAATTGGAAGGGAAAGAATTCAAATTTGATTATCACAAATTGCTGCCAGGTTATGACAATCCCTTTCAAAGGAAGAAAGATGATAAAGATAAAGAAGAGAAACATAGAGATAAAAAATATAATCGTAGAAGAGGTGATTTTAGAGATAAACGGGATAAACATAGTAAGAGGTATTCAGATCACAAAAAGCATGATAAGAACAGGGATCATGACAAAGAAAAGTCTAGAGATAAAGGAGGAGAACACAAAGTAGAATTGACACATACCGAAAAACCCGAAGGTGATGTTAAGGAAACTGATGTTGCTTTTGGTGACTATTTAGTTTGTGATAGCTGGTCATTAGACAATGATGAAAAAACTAGTACTTCAAGTCCTAAATATGATGATAAAACTGATTCACAATGTTCCGTAGTTCCAGAAGTTAGGGCTAGCAAGGAACCCTCTGAATTACTAAAAGATAGTATGAATAAAAAGAATGAAATTATTAAATCAATTACAACAGAGAAACCTAAACCAATAAAGCTACAACCAGTAATAGATTCATTCAAATATGAAATCGACGACAACGATGAAGAAGTTTTGGACATCTTCGATGCTAAAACGGATTTAAATAAATTCGCTACAGTAAAAGCAAAAAAGCTGACATTGTACGACTCACCAGACCATAAATCAATCGACCTAGATGATAGTTCTAAAGATTTATCTCTAGATGGCATAAACGATGATACCTTTTTGGAGTCGGTTATAAACGAAATTAAAGTTGGTGAAATAAGCGATGAGGAAAGTCAAGATAAGGGTTTAGTGGAGTACGAGATGTCACCGAGTAAAGGTCCTGCGAATGAGTCGATCAGTCAATCTGTGACGCCTGAATTAGCACACCAGACTGCGAGGAAAAATATTGATTATTCTGATGGATATAGATCAAATGAAAGTGGTTATAAAACGAGCGACACAGTTGAAAGTGGATACAAATCGGGCGCAGAATTTCGCTTATCAATAGAAAAAGATCTTGACGACGCGCTGAATGCAAGTAAAATGCCGCAAGCTACAATGGACTCACTAGAAACATGGACTTTTGTTCTTAAAATTTGTCAACCGCTATTGTTTAGACATGATAAAAACAAATGCTATAAGTAAGTTATACTTTTAAAAGTATCGCATTGATTTTACTCTCTTCCTACTAATGTTAAGATTAATGTTTTAGGGAGACAAGGGCCTCTCCGAAACTGTGGTATACAACAAACCCAAAATGTTGCCCATGTGTTAAGGATAGAAGTGTTGTCTATGAAGAGTTGGAGATGTGTAAAATGAATCTGGTGGATCGTGTCTATGGGTGTGATCAGTAAGTATTTAAAATATGTATGTTGTATTTTAATTTCGATAATATGGAATATAGGTTATAAATAGGATATTACACATTATAAAAAGGAAATGTTTTATGTGTTTTGATCCTTATTATAAAAACTAAAGTTCGATGGTTTAATTATTACTGTATTTAAACTACCACATTACACTTTTTAGATTTTAAAAAATACAAAGGATAGCGACAATGTAAGAGGATAACCTGTTCATCATTTATAACTTTTTAGAGAACATGTCTTTCTGACATTTGAATAAAACACCTTTTATTTAGTGTCAGTGTCAAAAAGTTCGTGTTGGTGTTTCTTTTATAAATATTGTTATTGTTGTGATCGTTTTTTTTTTCAATGAAATATAGTTAAATTATATAGGTGAGTATTATTTTATTTAGTTGAAGTTACCGGATAAACTATTACATTGCGCGAGCGGTGCATATATCAATGGGTTGCAAAAATTCGACGATGACGTGTAGGACACGGTAGCTCAACTGGTTAGAGAAACAGCACGGAACGTCGTGGATGTTGGTTCAAATCCTACGCGTCTTAAATTTTTATATTCATCAAAAGATAAATTACCAAAAAAAATTTTCTTGGCTTAGTTAATTGTAATTTGATTAAACATCCAAGTTCTAAGACACGTACAGCCTGCAAAAACCGTAATATGAAAATTTCAGAATATCGGATGAATCATTCCCGAAATGTCGCGACTGGTACCCGCAGAGTTCCGCTTGTTTGGTGGAGACCGGTAAGGTGCAGCTGTCGAGCGAGTGGGAAGCGGATGACAGCCAGCAATCGATAAGGGAAGAAAGCAGACGCGCTGAAACCCCGAAAAGAGAGGAACTTGCTTTGGATAGAGAGTATCAAAGGTTTTCCTATTTTATTTTTACCTTTCTATTTTGTACTTTATTCTCTAAGGAATTTTATATAGTAATGAACAATTGTTTTAAAAAAATAAATATTTTCATACATATAATATCAATATGATAAGAACTTAAAATTTAAATACCTTAAAATTACCTAGTAATATTGTGAACTTCCCCCAAATGACTTAACTTTAAAATACCACTCTTAAGGTTAATAATTGACTAATTCACAGCACAAAAACTTTCCTGTCAAAAGCTTGTAACAATAATAATTAGTCCATATAATTAAAAAGGTAGTATGTATGATAATATAACATTTGTACTGTTGCATACATTAAAAGCAGTATATCCTACACTCAAATTTTCATTAAGGAAGTATTTGGCATGTAGTGTAATCGAAACCTTGACAATATACTATCTATATATATCTATACAATTTATAATTAATTATGTTGACCGCAATCCAGGTTCATGGAAGCGGTTTGGCCCGAGGTTAATGAAACTCAAAAGGAATCGCCTAGAAGTACGACGCCCGTGCAAGAGAATAGAAAGAAGAGGAAGGAAAATTCAATACAAAGAGAAGAGGAGAAGCGGGCAAAGAAAATGAAACTCAGCAGTGAGGGCTGGAGCCAAGAATCTGAGGTAGAAGAAGATGATCGGAGGTAATTTATTATTATTATTATACTGTTAGGGACACATATGGCTGTGTACTTAATTTGTGATAAAAGGGGGGAAAGTTAAACGTAAATGGTAATATGTAGTGAATGTTACTTACGTTAATTAAGTATAGTCTGTAGTTTACGCGAGTAGTATACATTTAAATAAAATACTTTTACTGTTTAAAACGGAAATATAAATATTAGTTACCTTATTTTTTATTAATTATTCCGTAACCACGGAAACGTGGAGTCTCTGTTAAATTAGAAATAAGTAGAATAATATATTGCGCGTTTTAAACGGTTAAAAGTTTTTTTTAAATACGCTTTTGGTAAAATTCAGTGACGAGAGTCAGTTAAACAAGAAACTTAAACGAAGAAATTCGCTTATACGCCATGTTATTTGTATTACCAGCAAAAAGGTGAAAAGTGACAAGGGGAAGGCTAGAAAAAGAAAACACTCTACATCTGCTTCATCTTCACACTCTGACAGTGAAGAGGATTCCAAAAGGAAGAAGAGAGCGCTTAAAAAGAAGGTTGCATTTTCACTATTCTTAAAACCAAAAATTCTGTATACCATATGTTTATAAGTGAATTCATATTTTACAGGCAATGAAAAAAGTCAAATCAAAATCAGCTAAACGTCGGCGTATGGGCAAAAAACTTCTGAAAAAATTAAAAGAAAAGCAGAAGAAGAATAAGAAATTGAAGAAGGATTTATCAGATGACGACACTGAGAGTGGTAATCCTCTTATTACTTCTAATCACTTAAATGATAATAATTCTGTATTCAATGATATAATTTAGATTTGTGTACCTCGCTTTATTTATAATTAGATTCCTATCCACCTCTATTGCAGACAAAAGCAAGAAATCAAAGAAAAAGAAAGTGGAGAAAGCAAAAAAGAGAGATAAAAAAAAGAAAAAGGCAAAGAAAGCAAGTAGCACAGACACATCCAGTTCCAGTTCAAGCGACAGTGAGATCGAACGGAAGAGGTCGAAGAAGAAGAAAGACAAGAGTAAGAAAAGAACGAAGTCTTCATCAGAATCGCAAAACGAGGAGTTGTTCGACGTGACCATATTGAACAATATAAAAACAGAAAAGACGACGGATGATGAGGGACAGAAATTAATGGATTTTTCGCCTAGACGTCAAAAGCCTCGAGAGATTATCAACGTGAAGGAATTACAGAATGACTTCGTAGGAAACACTCACATTAAAGAGGAGATAAATGAGACACGGGAAGAGAGTAATAAAGTGGAGACGGCACCGGAAATTGTGGAAGAGTCACTGAGTCCAGAACCCGAACATTCCAAGAAAGAGGTTGCTTTAAAAGTAAAATTTCAAAGTATCTTAAATTGTTATATAACTAAAAAACTATTCAAGAAAGTTAAATCATCATTAAAACATTGAACGGTTTAAAACGCGAAATGCAATAGTTAACTTATTTTCAATTTATTTGAATCCGCGACTACGGCTGCTGCGAAGATCCAAAACGTTTTCTACGTGCTTACAATAAATTGTAAATAAGTTTACTATTACATTTCGCGTTTTAAACCGTTCAAAGTTATTTCCTTAAATGTGTACTAACTACCCGTGTTCTACCACACTTCTAACTACGGACACTATTGTTTGCCCTTTTTTAAATCAATGCGTTTTTACATATAATAAATTCCCATATTTTTATTATTTATATCGTATTAAAGTTTGTCAATAGCTAATAAAATTATATCCAATTTCAGAAATCAGCTGAAGATACTCGAAAACCAGTGGAAGCAGTTAAGCCGCCGCTCGATGATAATTCGCAATGTTCCTCGCAAGAATCCATTTATAGTGCTAAGGTATTTATATTTGTCGTCACTGGTCGTGAGTTCGAACCCTACCTAGAATGTTAAAGTGTGCTAAATTGCATTTCACTTTTCCAAGTGAGTCTCTAAATTCTTCTTTTCTTCTTTGTCTTCGTTTTCTATATATTGAAAACACGTTAATCTTGATTTTGCAAAAATACCTACTTTAAAACCAAGAAAAATGTTAGTTAAATACTGTCTATAGTTTACGCGAGTAGTACACATTTAAATAAAACACTTTAACGGTTTAAAACGCGATATATTGGTTAAACTTATTTGAAAATGACTTTTAACTTCGGCCCGTCGTTTCGTATGCTTTGCAGCAGCCGTGGTCTCCCCGTGACCACGGCTGCTGCAAAGTAAAAATCATTTTCAAATAAGTTTAACCAATATATCGCGTTTTAAACCGTTAAAGTGTTTTATTGAAAAAAATGTTAGTGTTAACGTAACAAAGATTGATAAAATTTAAAATCTATTTAAAAAGATTTTTTGACACGAATTGAACTAGCACTCCCAGCGTTCCGCGCTGCTTTAACCAATTGAGCTACCGAGATCTAAATTTAAAATATAGTTATATTTTTGTAATGAAATATGCGCCTTATATCTATAGCATGAAGATCTACAATCAAACGACGCTCTGGGGCCATCGTACGAAAAGGACGAAAGCCACCTCCGACCCTCGTCGCAGAACTCCAACTACAGTTTCAAAGACGTGATGAGCGCTAACCAGAGTCTGTACAAGGAACCGGGTTCGAGTGCCGATTGCGACAAATTCGAGAACTATGAGCCGGCTGAGTACGAGGTGTACGAACATTTGGCTATGGCTTATCAGAGCGACGTGGCTAAACAGGTATGAATAGATATTTTTATATACGTTAAATCTATATTGTCTGTAATAAATAAGTCTAGATCTAAGATAAAGTGACCTAGTTCACCTGAATGTGACCTAGCTGTAGATGTCTACAATATTGAAGTTGTCGACTTCTGCAACTATACCTTGATGTATACCTCAGTAACAGTAAAAGTAGCCATTAAGGTTTGTTAAAACCATTGGATTTTTAATATAATTTAAATACTTTTTTTTATTAATCAAGTACACTAGCAAAATGCATATAATGCATGGCAATTGAATGTTTGTTGGCTTTTTCATTTTTTTTTTGTAATATTATTCTGTGTAGTCAGTCAGTCAGCTTCAATGTATAGATTTGAAGAGGAGGTTTGAAAGACAAATTTTGATGACAAAATTCTAGGCGGACGAAGTCGCTGACACAGCTAGTATGATATTTTTCTAATGAAACACTTAACATCAGAGACGTCTTCCACCTAAAGTCTCCCCGTGACCGCAGCTGCTGCAAAGCATCCGAAACATCGAGCCAAACTTAAAAATAATTTTCAATTAGTTTAACATAAAGTGTTTAAACTACGAAATGTATTTGTTTATTTATATGTATACAATTTATTATTCAGCCAACATCGCCCAGTCCCGGTGCGGTGTCGCGTATAGAGACGGTCGTTCGAGCTCGTAGTTGCGGAGAGATCAAGTGCGATTGGAGGGCCGGCCACTCGCCCACCGAGACCACTCCTCACAGACCTTCGAGATGGGGTAAGGGCTTGGCTAGATGATTGCGATTCCACCAGAAGTATTGACGGGCTCGCTATCAACGCGTCGTGGGTTCGACCCAACCGGGCTCAACATCTTTCTAAGTGTTCAATTTATAAACTTGTTCGACTTCGTCTGGAAAGCTGGTTATTAAATGCGTGGAATATCGAAATTCCGTCCAGGTCACGAACCACCGTCCACAGATGAAAAAGCCGTCGAGCTTAATCGCGTTTCGGTTTCACTCTGTGGATTTCCAAATATCCGAGGCTAAAATCAGCGCATCATGTGAGATGTTATATGGCTGGGGTATTCCACCTCCCTTCCAGTGACCCCATGCGTGTCTGCCTCCTCTATCATTAAAAATAGTGGTGATGCGGTCTACATGAGGATAATCTCGCTTAAAAGAAGCTTTTAACATTCTTCAAATGGATTTTCAGGTTTGAAACCCGGCGAAGTGAACATAGTACTCACGGGAGGCGAAGTTTATCGTCAAAGTCCTCAACCCGTTTACAGAATACAAAATCTCGCTAACAGGAACGACACTAGTACGCCTATTAGGTAAAATAATATTTATGTATGTTATCCTTATCCCAACTCGCTTGAACATAACGATTGCAAGTAGATAATAGCTATTTTATTGAAGGTATTTCTAAAACCAAATTGTTAAATACATTTATAATAATGTAAACTATTTTATCAAATGGAAACTAATACCGCAAAAGTCGTTACTTGTTAAACTTACTTTTCAGTAATAGATTTTTTTTACTTCCATGAACACTACCTACGTCTTAATTAGGCCAATTTTTATGAAATTTTGTTAATGTTCTCAGAATCGGCTAGAAGTATATAGGGCACCCTATATATAGGCAACAAAATTTCATTCTTAGTTTCTCACATTAATAGGATACAAATTTTGCTCCATTATAGCTATGACGAAGCGTACTTGGACACTTACGGGGCGTCTGACCGACTGCAGTATGGGGACTGTTTTGCAGCGGAATTCAAACCCACACCCTCGGAGCCCGCCCCCACAACCGCTGCGCCAAAGGAGGATAGAGTCAGCTCCCTTGATGATCGAATCAATCAAGCTTTGAGGGGTTCAGGTAAATGATAAAATAAATCAAATTTTAGTAGTATTACACATGTAGCACACACACAGGCTTGATTATTGGTTACAAGTTTTGAAGGTAAAAAAGGAAGTTATGCCTACGAGACAGTCTCGTTAAAATAGGCCAATCTGGCACGAAAGGCGCCAAGGAAGTATGTGGTCTCCGATAGTGCTTTTTCCGTTTCTTCAAGGCACGTGACGTCACAGTGACGTGCAAATGATCCCCACCTCACTATTTGGATATATCTCATACAGTAATAAATAAACTATGAAAGACATTTTATCGTAGATATTTGATTTTAAAGTTAAAAGACATTTTATCATTTTTCCAGTGTTGGGTGATGTCACTAAAGAGTTGGAAGGTGATAATGATCAGGATGCTGTTGATCGAGGGCATTTACCCAGGTGATTTATTTACTATTACGTCTTTATATAGCTAATAACAACGCCAGTTGGATTAACACCAATTTATTTCCTAAAACATGCAGCTCCCCGTAGGTAGCAGGGTACATGTAAATACACTCACCACAAAAGGCATTTTAATATTCTAGTAAAAATGTATTAGAATGTATCTAAGAAAATTATAAGAATTTTTCATCCGAACCTTTCTCTGTTTCCAGGGAGGCCCGAGCTGCTGCGAAGCGTGTTCGGTTCGCAGATGGTTACACTCCTGGGCAGGACTCCGATACAGAGCCGCCACCGAATAAAAAGGTATGAACCCAACTAAAACAACCCAACGAATGGCCTAGCAGATCAACATTTTGATTACATACTTCCGGTACAGTGTTTAACTCGAGCATTACGTACGTACGTTACGTAATCGTAATTTCGGGTCGGAAAAGAGGGAATCTGGATGTTAAGTGGGTGGTAGGAGTATCGATATTCCGTACGGGTCACGAACCACTGGTGATGAGCCGTGAACTTTATATTTTTATATCCGAAAAAGCCAAAGTAGGATGTATGTAAAAATAATTGTAATTAAATCTAAATTATGACAATACTTTGGTATTTTAACTGAATATGCTTTTAATACGTTCCAGCGTTTCCGTGTTCGACGATTGGGATGCGCGTGGCCGTGTCCCGCTTCGCATCCGGACCACGTGTCGTTGTGGGACGCTTTGCCCCCTCCCCCGCCGCCACCCGGCTCTCCACCGCCCCGTAGGAAACTCATAAGCCGAATACACACGGGTGAGCTTTAGTAGCATACACACGAATAAGCAGCATTAACAGAAACATAACTGTTATTTTGAAGCTATATACTGTAATTATTATATAATGCCTGCAGTTTGGGTGAGTAGTACACATTTAAGTAATACTTTTAACGGTTTAAAACGCGATATATATTAGTTAAACTTATTTGGAAATTATATTTACTACGGCGTGACGTTTCCGATGCTTTGCATGTGAAACGTTGTGTTCCATGTTCTCCCCGTGACCACGCCTGCATTGTTTAACTAATATATATCACGTTTTAAACCGTTAGAGCTTTATTTGAATGTAATTATTATTAAATGTAGTTTCAGATCCGCTGGTAGGCTTGGCTCCGACGGCATTTATGCCCCCAGAACCGCCACCCGGCCTCATAGCGCTACATTGAAGTAAGTTTTAGACCTTTATTAAAATTAAAAACTTTAAATGAACTTATAATGTATATGTAATTAGTACATGTTCAATTCCATAACTTCCTTAAACTCAGGTTAAAATTTTATTCGTTACAAAATCTAAGTTTAATATTATTTTATATATAATTATTATTAGTTTTTAAATATTTGTCTTTATTCTTCACATATGTTGTTGTGTTTTTATGTTTATACTGTTTTTATCATTTAAGTACTTATTGTAAATCTTATTGTAATGCTGCCTATATTTTTTTATTGTATCCTCTGTTTTTTTTAGCCGAAAGTTATAAAAATTGTAACTAATTAAATCAAATCACAAACAGCGCAAAATAATAACCACTCAGAGCTAGTATCTTTATATAACACGTTTAAAACAAGTTTTTTTTAGTAACGATTTTCTAACGTTACATATTACTTCAAGAGCGTACTTTAAAAAAATTATGTCCTGTTATTTTTCAGATTTTGTAACAGTGCATAGCTGCAACGCTGTGATATTGGCTGCAATCGGATTCAAAGTTCGCTGACGTTTTTCATTTCCCTGAAGATCTCTTATGTAACATTAATGAAGCCTCAGCGATGTATACACATGTTAAGATAGATACTTGTAAGTTTTAAAATGTGTAAAAATGTTGTAAATAAATAAGGATCTACTTAAGAAACTTGCAGGTTATTTTGGTCACAAATGACATTGACACAGTAAACAAATCTGTATTTGAGTGTGTCTTACAATTTATAAGATAGACTCACAGTATTACAACGGAATTCTGAGGTTCCAAGAAGTTAAGAGTTTATACTGCAGAGGGCGGGTAGATCACATTCCTAGGCCCCGCCCCACGTAATGCGCTGGCTGGTATGTTTTCACACTTATTTTTTAATGGCACTTTATTAGTTTAACGTAATGTATCAGATTTAACGAAATGTCTACTTTAAAACCTGTTACTGAAATGGCAAAACGCACAAAATGAAACTACAGCTTTAAAAACAATAAAATAGATTTTCATTTATTGTGAGACGAAAAATACAACAATGGTACTTATTATCTAAAATGATTAGTGGCAGATTGTCATGTTCGGTAGGTGGCGGTCCGGCCTACTTACAGTACACTCCTAACATAATACAATATGTCTTTCATCGGAAACCACGCGGTAACGAATGTCAACGAAACAGCAATATACACGAAACGATACCATAGCGCTGTAACCGTAACTAGTAATACCATTTAACATATGAACTTTCAATAGATTCACTTTAGCTAACTTCACTCGGAAAGGCTTTACGAAGCGAATACTCGTACTTACAAGATCGATAGCTCAGTGGTCGCGTCTCCGTGCAACGGAACAACTCTCAGTACCTCTACTATGTTCTATACAAAATTGAACTTGCCGATCGCTACATCGTTTCTCTTTATTATATTTATACTAAAACAAGTGGGCAGCGAGCGGTTCGACTCCCGCTGACTCCAGCTCTTACTTATAACTCGAAAATGCCACTGCGACGCTACGACGCCTATGCGCGCGCGCAGCCGGGGCGCCGCCCTAGAGAAGGGCGCCGGACGAGGCGGCGGCGCGCCGGCCGCGGTCGCCGCTCTAGCTATTGCTCATAGAGAAAAAATTCCAAAATCAATTCGTTACATCGTAGACTATACTCGGTTTAATAATCTTGAAGTATTTATCAATAATCAATAAGTACATTATAATAATTGAATAGTTAGTACGTTTCATAAGAGACTAGCATTACAAATAAATACCTTCAGCTATACAATTTTATCTATTTAAACATTTGAAGATGTTTAAAGTGGACTACGACGGTTTGTAGACGAGAAGGCGACGCGGCGCGCGGTTCTCGTGTACAAACCCTTTTGCGCCTACGATCGAGATATGACTTAATGTATACTTAGACTTAGGGGAAAAGGTCGTCAAAACGAAAAGAAAAGTTATTGAAATTTATAACAAACACCTTAACTAATTCTTCAATAATTTAGTGTTAAGTATATATATGTATATATATAAGGCGCGCGCGTCGGGGCGAGGGGCGGCGTCGCTCGAACGCGTACAGACGAGGACGCGGTTACAAATGAAACAACTTTATACAAAAGGGCGAGTCGGACTTCGCCCCGCGCCCCGGCCGCTCCACAACATGTCTTTGACAAAAGCAATATAAAACATTTCATTCCGTGCGATGACACGACGCTACGCGAAATTTTTTTTATTTATTTTTTTTCAAAAAACACACGCCCATTCGCTCTTTCTTGCGCTTAAGTCTAAAATTAATTATTACAATATTTTTATTTGTTCAACAGACGCGCGCTCGCGCACGCGTATAATAATAAAATATTTTCAAAACAATCGAATTAAACACACTAGTTAACAATAAGTTACGTTCGGTGCTCGGTGTCGAGGCCGGGACTGAGGAGGGGGTGTCGCGGTCTGCGCGGGGGGGGGCGGGGGGCCGGTTAGACGGCGGTCTCGGTGTGGCTGTGGCTGGAGAGGCGCTCCACGTCGAGGTCGGCCGGCGCCAGGTGGTGCGGCTCGGCGTATTCCACGCTGGAGGAGTGCGAGTAGCGCTTGGAGAGCGCCGTCTGCTTGCGCAGCGCCTCGGCCAGCGCCGCGTCCGCCAGCGAGCCGCGCGAGTCCAGCCCCTGCCGGAACGCGTTCACCACGCGGATCTGCCGGAGCCGCCCAAAAACCTTCTTACTCACGGGTCTCGCCCCGGCCGAGCCACGCGCGCCCTCTGGCTACACTCCCCCCCCGAACTGTACATCTAGTTATTTACACCTGTGCGAGTGTAACCAAATCCTTCTCTCCTCGGCGGCTTTTACTTCTACGGCTTTAGCAGATGTATACACACAGTTTGGTTACATTCGCACGACGAAACTATTCAGCAGGGTATATAGAACACTCGGTCTGAGAGAACTTTACAGTGCCAACAGTGTGCTTTGGGAAAGTTCGACTCGATGAAATAAAAGATATCGAGGAATCGACATTAAACAACGAAGAAAGTGTGAGCCAGAGATCGCGTGTGTCTGTATATTGCAACTTCTGATTTACCGCCGTTTGAGAATGAAGCTTTTGAGTTACTTTTGGGGAAAATCAGAAGCTGGTAGGTTAAAGAAACAAATATAAGCACATTGAGCCATAAAAAGAGGCGAAAGCGTAATTGAAAACTTCAGTCACAAATCGGTCCACGACATCGAAGGAAGGGGCACGAGACCGAACTCCAAACTCGACGCGGTCTCGCGGAACACCTCATGCTCCCTTCCCCGAGACTCGGGCGAAGGTCCTGTGACGTCACTCGCGCGCATGCAGTGTCTCTACCCCTCTGAATACAGACAGTTGCGTCGCCACTCGCCGTTCGCCGAGGGCGAGCCCACCTGCTCCAAAGCAATCTTCTTCCCGTCAAAGCTACCCCTAGTATGAGCTTTTTTGTCAACCGTGCCGTCCGGACCGCAGACAGTATTCGTATCAACGAAATAACTCATGCTAGAGGCTCAAGCTGGACCTAACCACCTAAGCGTTCGATTCACTAAAAGCTAACTGATGAAGAGTCCGTGAAGAACCTCTGGCGCGATGGTACTGTTTCAGTGCAAAATGTGGCAACAAAATATATACAACTACCTCTAGTTCTAAATGATACGCAGTATTTTTTTCCTAAATCAGCTTGCTTTACGAATTTACGTGCCTAATAATTCACGTCGGAATGAGCCTAACTATTCTAGCGCTACATAGATGGTTCAATTCTGATAATATAATCGTTACAGCGAATATTCAAACTTTGATTACTTAATATTCTTTAAGATCAAAGGCGTATTATTACGTATTGCACGTTGAATGGAAACTAACTGAAACAGTGAGCGTCATTGAGGTGAAGCATGTGTGCATGCACGTGCACGGCGGACGCATGCAAGCCACACTGACCGATGAACAGCGGGACACGGCACGTGGTCGGTCGCGCGCATGTTAAAAGGCCAGCGCACAGACGAGAAGGAAAAACAGTTACAACGGAAACACTGGAGTTTAGAGTACAGTCGAACAGAACATTGATGGGGAAGTTAGAAACGAAAAAAAAACCAACGAGGTGAGTGAAAGAGAGCAGGCTTTTATCAAATCTTACAGCTTGATCGGTAGAAGTCTTGCTGTAGGGCACAGGAATCAAGCGCTCTTGTAACTCGCCACCTATGACCTTCCGTGTGCAATGGGGATTCATGGAAAAGAAAATAAAAACAAGAATATGAAAGATCACGACTCTGGCAGAGTCTCGACGGAGCCGTGCGGACGGACGGCCTTCGTCGAACGCTCTTCTAAATAAGCTATGTACACGGTGGGCGTCCGCTGCGGTCGCTCCGGTTCGGTCCGGGCTCGACCTTTAGGAGAGCGTTCGATGGTACAGCGGTGAATTTCTACAGAGTGTAGAAGATAGACTCGGAGGGACTGACGGAAGCAGTGCACCTCGAAGCGTCAAGATTTCAGGAAAGACTAAATAATAGACAAAATAAAATAACGCAGGGTCTTCCTAAACCGTAAGAAGCACATTCATGGGGTGTGCACTTAAAACTATTTTACAATTTCCATCCAGGGCTCCGTTTAGATTTCGTTTTAAAATAAAACAAAACAAAACCAATGATAGGAACGTTCCTCGTTTGAGCTCGATAAACCGAAAACACTGTTAATGCGTGTGTCGTGACTGTGTCCGTGTCCACACGGGTCGTGTGATGTCCATGCGGTCTAGAAGCACACATCGATTCGCTCACATACCAGATCAATACCGTTCGTCTAACAGAAGCGCGCGTGATCGACCTACAGGCTACAGAACTTACGACTAGGGCAAGCTGAGTTCTAGGCTCCGGACTAAGGAGTCATGCGCTACAGTGACACGAAGCAAGCGTCTCACGACAAACATTCGCACGTCTGACGATACCCACACAACGGCAACAGTCCCATCCTTCAATTACCTTATGAATGCGGCTCTCCCAGACGAAGCAAACGGTTGAAATAAAAGTTAATTTCTCGAGTATATATACTTTATTACTAGATCATGAAGCTTCCACGTGGGTAGCTGTTAGCAGATCGTGCTCCACTATGGTCCATCTTAGTGTATACGACTATTTTGCGTGAAATATCAAGCGTTAATAAGACGTTTTTTTTTTCAAAAAGTTATCTCTAAGTTTTGGTGTACACCAAGACACGTAGTTCCCTTAGTTTTCATAATCTAAACCGTATCATAAGCAGGCATTGATTAATTATCACTACACGAAGTGCGGAAGTTGAAACGCTAAGTTAATATAAATATTTAAATTGTTAATATCTAAGAGTTAAGTGGATAGTTAAATTTGCTTGAAACCTGTAGAAAGAGAAACCAAAGTATAAGAAAAACGAAATAAGACATTTATCATGTAGTGTGTATGTAGGTAAGTTATACAAATCAGTGTAGTTCAAGTTTGAGTCATCTAGAACTAGTCTAAATGCATGCATTGCTACCTCGACGGAGAGCGGTAGTAGTCATCGTGCATAAAAATAACTTCTTAAATACAGGACATCAAACACTAAGCACATTTCAACCAACACAAAGTACACGACTACGGACATCCAAAAGAAACAAAACATCAAGCAAATTCAAATATCCTATCGTTAAAAAGCACTCGTCAGCGGAATCGATGAATCGTCTCTATATAAAATGGCACATTATATCTTTCATATAAAATTTTAACTTTCAAACACACAACAACATCACATCGAGAGATAATCGTTCAAAGGATACTTATTTACAGAAAATTAATATTAAATTATCACGATTATATACTTCTCTTAGAAAAATAAACGCATTCTGACACGTAAAAGGGAATCGCGAAAAATTCAATTTAAAAATCGGTGCACCATTATTTACTACGCTATTGTTTTGCAACTTACTCTAATAACTTTAGTAACATATTAATTCTACTCATTTAAAGATTTCAGAAAAAGTTACACTCGAGATTATAGAATCGGTTAGAAGGCGTATCTCTGATCGGCAGTCGTTGACTCGCCGTAAAGCAGTTTTGCGCGGTAGTTTGCGAAAACGCGAGTCGTATATGATTTGTGTACAATTTGGTTTATTCATCGCTTTGATGCGAAACGGGGCTGAGCGCTGGTATGGAACTGCCCCCGGATTGCACGCTGATTCTCCGGTGCTCCGCCAAATAATTATTGACAAAAATCCTGCGGCCGGCCAATATGTCCGCCTTTTGCTGGAAAACAATGACGGGCGAGTGAGTCTCGCTCGGCTCGTGCGGCCGGGACGCGACTAGGACAGGCGGCCTTCTAAAACCAACCACTTTCACATGCGCCGACCCGACTAGTCGCTTCCGACTGGGAACAAGTTTGGTTTTAGAACTCCGAAAGATCTAGAAGTGAGCTCGCTCGTCACTCGACAAATGTTGAGCGGTTTCCATCTACCTAAAGTGCCTAATCTAAGTCAGGGTTCATTCACTAGCTGGGTAAGGGGTTCGAGGGCATCCAGTAGCAATTACAGAAAATGATAAAAAGTTACCGTGAAAGATCTACAACTACGAAAGAAACTAATGAAAAAATCCGGTATGTGAGCAACGCGGTACGTGCCGTCACCCGAGGTCGAAAATAAAATATCGTTAATGTTCAAATAAATATTTATTAAAATGAGTTTTACTGGTCGCTTATATGCCGGTTAAGTTTTATTAATTATTTGTTACAATTAAATCAAAAAGAAAAACTTATTGAATAAGTACTTACACAACCGAGTCAACGTTAAAACATAAAAATAAACAAAAAATGTAAAAGCATATTAAAATGGTAAATTAGGTTCTTATTTTTCTAGATTTGGTGTAGTGGAGACATACATACAGTTATTTATTCATTTTAGCTGCTTAAACTAAATTTAGAGGTTTGGTAGCTACAGATCGCATATAAATATACAATTTTGTTTACTCATTTTTACTTCTGTATTTTTGAGACAAAGTCGCCTGTCCACAGTAGCCGTGTGAGACTCGCAAAGAGTTTAAAAGTGCTGTTGGAAATATGTTGTAAATAAGCCTCGCAAGATTGTCTACGCATGGATGGAAGTAGTCTCTAATACGGGGTCACCGTGGACAGTCCTCTTACGTAAATTAAAATGCTAAGCGCACAATTAATATGAAACTCTACCAAACATCTAATAATAATACAATTGTGCATACTCACATTCATCGGTCTACATGCAAAACGCTGTAACATAAGCATGGTCACACTGTAAATGCGAAGCGAATTAAAAAAAATACAAATGGAAATTAAAAAACAACTTTTTGTACCACAATAACAATTTTCGAGATATACTCTGTACTTACAAGCTAAGATTTGACCCACACGTTCAGAGAGCCTTCGCACATGTGTCGCGTCGAAATCGTGTCGGAGTCGTGAAGGCTAAAAATCTTTTTTGAATTGTGCTTTACGAAATTCTAAGGCTCACTTGCAATAAGGAAATTAGACGATCATTATAGCGTTGTCCTTATTTAGCATTGTCTATTATCTCACAGAAGCAACATCACACTCGGTAAACTGTACTGATTGAACACTCCGCGTTCGAGGATACGCGAGCGACTCATGTGCGAAGAGCCAACCGGATCTGACCTAGGTTCTGAGCGGTTGAACTTACGTATCGCAGTGTCGTTAGAGCATGTACCGAAGGCAAACAACGTGCAAGACGACATGCTGTCTGTACGGTCAGCAATTAATACATTTTCAAACAGGCTTCGGAGCGACTTATTCTAAGTAAGGAAGACTTACAGTTAGAAATAAAACGTAGATAAGTCTAATTGCGAATTTAATTCCTTCTCTATTTTGGGGTTTTCTATTCAATTAACAGAGCTCGTTTGAAAAGAACGAAATGCAATTTTTAATGCAATTAACCGATTTCCGCAACTACCCCCGCACGTACAGACGAACTATTAGCACAAACCATTACCGCTCGGTAAGTTAACAATTAAAATCTGAAATAGAGCTCGCTCTAAACAACATCTACTCTCAGTTTCTTTTTTATCTCACTTTAAATATTGTAAAGTTATACCATTAGTCAGCGGCGCGTTTATAGCGCCGTAAAAAGATTGTACAAGGTAGATCTAAGTAGCTATTTCAGAATAGTAGATATGGGTAAAAGTGGTCCCAAAAATTACTATGAAAGATAACGGATAAACGATTCAATGTATTAAGTTATTTTAATCTCAGGGCTGTACAAAACCGCTCCAATATACAAATAACAAGAGGTTGCTAACCTATTTACAAATAAGTCACATCTAAAACAGCAGTGTCCGTTAGCCGCGGACGCGGTCGAAGTTTCGACGACGAAACGTCGTGGTAAAAGGGGGGTTTCCGAGACGGGCTCGTTCGAGGCACGATCGGTCGAAAGCCTCAGCCTACAGTATCGCTATGCACTATATATTCACTTAAATAAGACGCTATTCGCAGGGTTGCCGGCTCGAGACCTTAACGAGGTCGAACGTCCATTAAATTAAATCGTTACATCTAATAAGGTAAGATTCGCGACTGCGAAAGGAGTTTGTGCTCGAAGTAACCGCCGCGTGACGAGCGAGCGGCAACCCTCGTTCGGTACGCGTTAAGTACGTGGCGCGAGGCGGTGTGGTCTAGAAAATGGTGGTCTCGGTGCGGTCGGGCGCGGAGGGGACGTCGTCCGCATCGATGTAGGCGATGTCCTGCGGCGGGGCGCGCAGGCGCGAGCGCAGCCCCGCGGCCGAGTGCGCCGACAACCGCTCCTCGAGGTCCTCGAGCGTCGACTTGAACGCGCGCACCACGCGCAGCTGCAACCGAAACCGTGCTCACGTCCGACCCGACACCGACCCGCTCCGCCCCGCGCGGTCCGACCCGCCCGCGCTGCCCACTGAGTGTGGCGTGGATCCGGCGACCGTTTGTATTCAGAGTTACATGCAGACGAGAGAGATGCTGTGCCGACTGAATCGACGCCGTGCTGGCTAAGTGCGACCTCTGACCGAGCGAGAACGAGACGGTGCAAGGGAACTGTGCCAGACTCTACGGAACACGACTAGACGAGGGCCCGCGGCGAGACTTCGACTCCAAGTGAGGATGTGCGACTTCGAAAGATTGTCATGCTTTGGAAACTCTCTCGGCGAATCTAACTCTCACAACTGGAGTAGAAGGCTTAGAAACGGGATTTGACAGAGTGCAGCGTGTCAAACGTCTCGCCGCGAGCGCGGGAAGAAGGCTATCGCTATCCACTAGAGGACGGTTGTGCCAACGAAACGCTTCTCTTCAATCACGCAGCGTCATAATTAATCGTGCAATACCCGCGTCAAAAGCGAAGAGCGATTGGAGAGAAATTTTCGTCAGCGGTGTGTGTGGAGGGGCTAGACCACTCTAAATGCGCTAGGGGTGGCTAGGGCACGCTGGGGAGAGGCTGGAGCACGCTAGGGGCACGCTAGGGTGGTACCGTGAGCGTCCGTCGCACGCAGCGCGCCGGCACTCGCCGCGCCCGCCACTACACCTCGGTCTCGAGCACGGGCCGGGGCTGCCAACAACATCGCTCTACCACGCGCGCCTCGCCCCACTCCACACCGTCCTACACCGCAGCCCTAGCTTTACACCGGCTCCGACAGACAGGGGACTACCCTACACCCACTACTCGCCCCCACATCGGCGAACGTGGAATTACTTAGCACCATTTTAGGCGAGAAATTCATTCAAATGTTAAAAAGTGTAATAGTAAATTTTACACATTATGTACTTTTTATTGAATTATTATATAAAAAGTTAACATTATACAATAAAAAAGTAATTCCACGATAAAATTGTAACTGACTTTGAATATTGATTGGAGTAAAATTTATCAATGTGGGATTTAGGTGACCACATGACGTCATCTCCAACATGACCTTGGGCGAATAGTAGATAAGGGAGTGTTGGGGGGCGGCTAAGAACGATTTCCTGCGTCGACGATGAACGAGTCAAATGGGAATCTAGGAATTTTGAAGGTAACAAACCAATAAAAACAAAACAGCCACTGAAAATAACAGCATTTAAGAAGCAGATGACGTCATAATTTATCCCCTTATCTGTCGTAGCCGAAGCGGACGGAAAGAACCTTTAAAAAACATTTATTTGTGTCTGTACATGGATTTGCGGTCGTGTTATGATCGGGTCTGTCGCATCGATAACCGGCTTATCACAGTTGAGTGTAAAAACATGTATGGAAACTAAAAAGGGTCTGACAAACAATATGGAATAGAGAAGCTTCAGACAGTCGAGTGTAACCTGTGTCTGTGTCTGTGTGTGCGTGTCTGTGTCCAGGTCCGTACGACCAGTGTCCCGATGACCAGGTGAGAGTGCCAACTAAAAGGGAAACAAACCAAAAATAATGAGGAACTAGGGGGAGTCGAAACGAGGCCTTAGCTTTCCTGAAGAGCGACGTCTAAACTACGCCTAGACAACGCCGGGTGCTGACCTATTGGAAGGAGGGGGCACTACGTCACCTAACACGAGTCTGTCTATTTCGTTCGGGTTTACGCTTAAACGGGCTCGCTATGCACGCTTGTGTCTGCACGCAGTCTTACGTCTACCATGCTGTGTTAGTCCGGTCGTGGAGCCAAGGATGTTACCCTACACGATTAGATCGGAACTACAACTTGCAAATATTACCCAAATATGTCTTACTAATATTTGCACACTTGTAGTACGATGTTGGCAGTTAGTAAGCTACACATTTCAAAGTATTATTTCCAACGTTCTCTCGTTAAACACTTACGCTACTTACCGTCGGCTCGCACTACCTCCCGTTCGCCGCTACGTATGTACATAAACTAATAAGGACACTACAACAAGCCTAACATATTACGCAAAATAACACAATGAAGGCTTTCCAAGGCAAGGCAAAACTACACACACGTCGCTGGCGGCTCTACCCACCTTCCGACCGGGACGGACACACAGGAAAACAAAACAAACAAAAAAATCAAAAACAAAAAAATTAATAACACAAAACATTGACACTAAGGGAAAGAGACGGGTTCGAACGAGTCGTTAGTGCGTCGAGCGTTCGCGCATGCTCTGCAGGTCTCTTAATCCACTCCACACTCAAATAAAACGGTCTTTTGGTAGCAGTAACTCAACACAATTCGGTGGAAAAGAATAATAATGAATTGAAATGAAAGGAAAATATACAAAGTGAACGTTACTGCTTGGAACTGGTCGTTTCGCGTGTTAGTGGGCCGTGCGCGGACGCGGGTCGGGCCCGCCGCTCGGTGGATCAGTAGCGAGGGTGTCGGGTGGCGTATTCAAGCAAAATACTTCAACTTAAACCAAATTAAACGAAAACAGACAAATAATAGTAAAAAACAAACAGTCAGTATGACTAAATAAAAGACAGATAGAAGGAAGTCACGTGTTCTGTTATGTAGATATACATATATATATCTAGATCTAGATCATAGTCATATTCACTGTTTGGGTTCGTATTGAGGGATAAGTAACATCGTCACAGCCTACATAAAACGCATGCCAATGGGTAGTAAAGTGGGTCGTTATAAAATTAAAACATATAAATACATATCTCGGGAAGCGTATTATAGTATTCGGTACTGCATGCACGGCCGTTACTGATGTCTAACTAGTGTCGCTAGGGGTCACCCCGGCTCTCACGACACTCACGACACAAACAGCGGAGAACAGACAAAGTTTCAGTGAAATAAGTGAGAAATGTCGTGAGACCGGGGCGTAAATAATATTAAAATAAACATATCGGTCCGTCCCGTCCGCTCGCCAACAAGTCTGGACCAGCGACGGTCCCAACGTTGGCGAGCGAACCCACGTGCCGCGCTACGTTAATGGGCCAAAAATAATAGCATCACTACTCTATTAACTTGTAAAGTGTTTCTCTGTGTAGGCATAGAAATAAACTGAAACTGAAGTGTAGGAGAATAAAATAAGAACGAAACGAAAACAATATAATATAATAAATGAAAAAACGAAACGTTCGAAAGTAACGGTCGCATTACGCGTTAACTGTGAATAACCCGGCTTACTGTAATGAATGTGTAAAAACAAATGACTCAGCTCGTTTACGTCTAGAATATTCTATGGATGCAAATGCTTTGCTGTATGCTGGTAATAGAAAAGTAAATTGGATATCGTATTATGGACTTAACATCAGGATGCCCAAGTTTGAATCCGCTCGGAGGCTCCGCTCCGCTATTACTTATCGCTGTAAACTAAAACTTATCCCTCTTTCTTATCTCTGCCATACCTAAATGCATAGGGAGCACTTTCGATTTGCTGATACACGAAACAAAAAGAATCGTTGAGTTGCTTTGAAATTATGACAGCGAATAGAAAGTGCTGCACCGCGCAAGACTTTGTCTTGCGAACAAAATTCTAGTATATTACAAGATTTTAATTCACATTATTCTATGATTCTAATCTATCACAGCCATATTTTATATGCCCGAGACCAAAAAATGGATCATTCGTTAAATTAAAATTGGCTGGCCATCGGGCAAGTCCCTTGAAGACATTTTAGTCAAATTTTCATTAATGAGTCCCCAATAGTTAAAGTTCGTCAAGTACAAGAGACCCACATTAACACATTTACCACATTGTATGTCCGTGACACACACTGCTAGAGAAAGGTGAAGCAGACGAACTGACAAAATCCTAAACCTCCCATTCCCTGACGACTAGTGACGAGATCGGCAGAGCTGCAGATAATTCTTATACTACTTGACTACTGTTGGATCAGTCTTTTGTTGGATTTTTAATTATACTTAAAAAAATGACTCATATAAAACTTAGTGTAAACTTTGTATAACTAAGTTTAAAAGCTAGACTAGAGAGGAAATTGTCATTAATTCGAGTAAATCTTTTGCTTAACCAGCATTTTTACTGGTGTTTCGACCGTATTCTTTCTAGTAAATTTATGAGATATCAACAGCGCTACCGTCACTCGTCGCACTCCCGTTTCCCGGTGATTTTGGGAGCCCCGAGGCCCCGCTTGTGTGGCTAGTTCGTACCTGTGTCTGCAGTCGCGTGAGGCCACGGATCCAGAGGATCTGGCCTGCACGGGGCTTCTTGTCCAGGTCTGAGTCGTAATCCGGACCTGGTTGAATCGTTTCGGGGTCGGGTTGTCCGCGACCCCATCTGGGAATATTGAGGATGATGTTTAAGTATTATTCATGTACACAGACTACATGTATGTATTATATCAATACATACATGTAGTCTGTGTACATAATAAATTGCGCAAATTCTTTGATTCGGCATTTTTAGATTAGTATAAAAAGACAGTACCTTTGAGAAAAACTAATTCTAACTAAATCCTAGTCCTTAGTTACTTATTTTATATCGCTATCGCTGTATACACATTTTTATTTAGAAAGATCTCTACACTATTTATATGATAAACTTACGAATTATGACGATAGATAATACAAAATTCTATAGGTGTAATACTTTCTACATTAAATGTATACAGTAATTTGTTTCTAACTAGTTTGCGAGATCCACTCACTTGTCGCGTCGGTTAATCTTATGGCTAGTAGTAGGAATACTGGAGGATTGTCTTATGGTTTCGTGGGTTCTGCGCTTGCGTAAATTGCAGCAACTTGTAATTTTAGTAAAAAAGAACAAGAAATCAAAAATATCCAGAATAAAAATAGGTATTATGAAATAAAAAGGTGATAATGAAAGTTTTTTTTTTGATACATGAATGATGGGGAACAGGCAAGCTTGATGGCAGGTGAAGTATTTCAACCATATCATCTAAACGCCATGTGCTGACCACCTATTCTGACTTTGGAAAATCGGAAATGCACAGACTGAAACCGAAACGCGATTAGACTTCACGGTTTTTTCATCTGTGGACGTTGGTTCGTGACCCGGGACGGAAATTCGATATTCCTACCCGGGTCAATTAATATCCAGATTTCCAGACGAAGGCCAACATGTTTCAGAACCGGTTAATGTTGTTGTTATGAAGGTCACAGAAATACAACTTTTAAAAAGTTAATCAGCTGTTGACGGATGGTGTTTGACACGATGGAACATATATTATAATGGAAACATCAACTCACGAGAGTTTCTTAGGAATCTTGCGCGTGGGAATGGTAGTGACGAGCTGTCCCCACACGAGGGTGCCGGCTCCGAAGAACAAGCACCAGAGCCACTGGTCTATCGATAAGCCAGCTGTGCTGAACGCCATACCGCCGAACTGGATGATTACCACCTGAAGAAAGAATTTCAACATTGAAAAATATTGACTGTTCTGTTCTGTGCTGCTCTAACAATCGAGCTACCGTGTTTCACACTTCATCGTCGAATATCTTACATTCCCCTCTGGCGGAAAGTAATTTAAGGTTTTTTTAATGATAAAACAGACACTTCGTTCATATGATGGGAGGTGAAAGAACCCAGCCTAAAGCATCTAAATGAGATACGCTATGGCCCTATTTTGGATTTTAATAATCAGAAATTCACACACTGAAACCAAAACGTGATTAAGCTTCACGGCTTTTTCATTTGTGGACGGTGATTCGTGACCCAGACGCGATTTCGATATTGCTACCATCAATTTAATATCCAGATTACCAGAGGAAGTCTAACATCTTGGGGAAAAATTATAAATCCAAAAATTAGAAACACTTTGGCCCCGATAGGAATCTAACCCACGACCCGTTGATTATTAGCCGTACATTGCTACCATTACAAGTCGTACCTGGGACAGCGCGGTCCCGATCCATATAGAATAGAAGATAGGGTTCGTGAAGAGGCCCTCGAAGACGTTCCTCTGGCCGTGGATTTTGCGCGCGTTTATTTCGTTGAACAGGGTCATCATGACGAAGGTGTTGAAGATGATCGTGAAGTGCTGCGTCGGTTCCGAGCCGAGCGCTTGGCCTCGACCCGACGGGATGTTCAAGATGCGGTCACCTGCAAGTACGGTTATTTGCTTGAATCGAAAATATATTTTTGTGTTTGTTAGATCCTTAATCGAGGACAGTTTCTAACATCGAGCTGCGAAAGGGGAATGTGGAAAAACAGCAATGAGTAATTTCAAGATATTATCATTTTAATTATAACATAATGGAACGTTATCTCACCAACGAAAAGCAAAGAAAATATGATGAACAGCTGGTAGAAGGCCTGTCCGAGGATGTTCTTCATCATGGTGCGGGAGATGAGCGGCTTGGTGCGTCCGTAGGGTTTCCGTTGCAGCAGATCGGCTGTCGGCATCTCTGTTGCGAGTGCGAGTGAAGCTAACGTGTCCATTATAAGGTTGACCCATAACATTTGTACCGCCTAGAATAAGTCATTTGTTAAATAATAAATATGTATGCTAGGTGCTTAAATTACAACTTTCAGTTGCTTTAACATCAGTCATTCATCATCATCAGTCATTTATACGTTACGTTACGTAATTAATTATAGATAGATTTGAACAATACAAAAAGTACATATATCTAGTACATGTTATGTCTAGACAGCCCTCGTTGTTCAATGATTTAGGATGTTGTCTATCGTTGAGTAGCACTAACCTTCAAAGGACTGTCCTGGATAGCGCAAGCACCAATAAAAGCGACGATGACCGCGACCACGTTGACGGTGAGCTGGAACTGCAGGAACTTGGCTATCGAGTCGTACACGTTCCGCCCCCACATCACCGCCTTCACGATGGACGAGAAGTTGTCGTCAGTGAGGATGATATCGGAGGCCTCTTTCGCTACGTCCGTTCCGGCTATACCCTGCAAAGTCAATGAAGGTTTAGCTACTCCATACCTAATACTCGACTGAATCTCCTGGTTTTGTGTCTGAAGGCCAGGTTCTTTCATTCAATAAGTGGGTACATGTAAGTGATATTAACTACGACGAAACAGATGGCGCTAGTGTAGCAGATTTGGCTTTAACACTTGGCACGTCTTTAGTCTAAGTAATAAATTTCCCGTTTCAACCTTTAGTGCTTTATTTTTATATATTTATATAAAACAACACAATTAGACGAAGGTTATATATTAATCGAAATTCGAAATATCGAAATTTCGACCGGACCACGAACTACCGTCCAAAGTCGTGAAGTGTAATCGCGTTTCGGTTTCAGTGTATGGATTTCCGAATATCCAAATCCAAAATCGGTCGACAGCATATCTTGTTCGGATGTTATATGCCTGGAGTATTACACCTTCCATCAACACCATCTCTGTCCCATCATATAAACATTCTAATATGTATTTACCATCGCAAATCCAACGTCAGCCTTCTTCAGCGCAGGTCCATCATTGGTACCGTCTCCTGTGACCGCAACGACCTCACGCTTGTCGAAGGCTTTCGATTCGATCATCCCCTTCACCAGCGTGTACTTGTCGGTGGGCGAGGATCGGGCTAACACACGCAGCTTCGGCCACACCTTATCCAAGAGATGTTGCTGGATCTAAGAAAGAGATTTTCAAAGTCACTAAAGGAGTCATACTTTACTTTTAAAACTATTTACCCACTTTTGTTTGTAAATTAGTATAAGATATGCATTTTATGTTTTAAACCGTTGAGTTTTATTTAAATATTACCCCATGAGAAAAAGGAGTTGCAGTTTTGTTGATAGTCCAACCATAGGAGACAGTTCAAATAACCACAGTATAGTCAATAAGGGGAGATGAAAAAACATATCAATTAGGAGAGTAACATTACGCTGCGGTCTTTGGTTTTACTTCTAGCTGTGTATTATTATTTTTTATATTATAATTGTTAATGTGAAATTCTGTTGTATTTATTGGCAAGTAGTTATTTAAACTTCTTTGCCTAGTCCGACCGAAACTATCTATTATCTCGCCGTGATTTGAGCCCAAGATCACTCACGCTTAACGTAATTGCATTTGTAGTTACAGAAGCGGTCTTATTGTAAGATTCTATATATATTACCTCTCCATTCGTGTCCCTGACCCTCCTGTTGAACTCCTTGCCCTCCAGGATGAGGAAGTCGTCGGTGGGTTTGAGGATGCCGCACTTGATGGCGATCGACCGCGCCGTGTTGACGTTGTCTCCTGTCACCATGCGCACGGTGATGCCGGCCTTTTGACACTTGCGGATCGCTTCGGGGACCTGGGATTAATGAGAACATAGTTTTGACAAGCTTGCTAGTAGTAATGGGCACCGACTATTACTGACTCGACAATGTTTCATGAAAATAATTTATATTTATCTCGAGGCACGTAAGACTTGTAAAAAATATTGAAAGAGTGGTAGGAATATTAAAAATTCGTTCAGGCCACGGACCACACAAGTGACCCCGTGCTTGTCTGTCCTCCTCTATTATTAAAAGAAAGACGTGGAATCTTAAGTTTTGTTTCAGTATGTCTATTTTCAAAAGTCTAAATGCAAAAAAAATTGGTGTTATATGCTTCTATGCATCAAGTGAAAAAAGTTGTCTGTATACGTTCCTTCCTGTGTACACAAACATTATATGAATATTACCTCGGGCCTAACAGGATCTTCAATTCCGACAACACAAAGGCAGGTCAAGTTGTTAACAATGTTATCTTCGTCGTCCCAGTTCGGTTCTTGGTCTATGTGCACCTGTAAATAGAGTTTATATACATTATGGTGTGGGTCCAGCATTTTCAAGAAAATATGTAGCTCCATAAACAATGTTGATACTCGTTAAAGATACATAGTATTAATTAAACAAAGAGGCTGTTCAGCTTTTTGAGATCCTAAATGTGATCACCAGTCGAGAAACCTTTTTGCCTCAACTACCAACAACTACAACTACGAAATGTACCCAGCTTATTACCAGTTACCGATAAGCTAAGTTAGTCGTAGTGCATCAGATTTCTTTCGAATCTCCTCATTCCTGATACGGTCACACAGGAAAACCCGCCCATCCATAACACGCTCAACCACTAAGTTGGTGCTAAGGCTCGCGTTTCGACCAAGTTACCATATATTATAAATTCACTTATATTACTGCACATGAAATTGAAACATGTATGTATTGTGTATTAGCAGAATAAAATATGATACCTGGTTGATCTCCGCTTTTCCCGGCACAAAATCTCTGTAGGCAACCGAGATGGTTCTGAGCCCATCGCAGGCCATAGGTTCGATGACTTGTCGCACCAGCCGATCTTGCATGTCTCTCGTGAACTTCTCTAGACGACCCTCGTGACCGTATATGAATGCACATCTGAAAAACAAACATACATTTTGAGAAACATTATTGGAACAGCAAAGCTAGCTTTGCAAAAACACTTTTAAACTTTTATAACCGCAGTAAGTTCGATACAGCTGCAATCACCTACAACTCTATACGTATAAATATATAATGATTTGTTCTCCTCACTTCTTTAACACGATTTCCGAAGCCCCCTTAGTGTAGAGCCGATAGCCACCCTTGTGCGGGATGACGGTGGACATGCTCTTGCGCACCGAGTTAAACGTATAAACCCTCGTGAACGATTCCTCCGGATGTCTTTCTCTCACTCCCTCGTAACTCTGGCCTAGAGCGACAACGAAGCCAAGTAGCGCGCACTCCGTCTTGTTACCAACTTGCATTGGCGGACCGGTTGGGTCTTGGGAAGGCTGGAATGCAAACAAGATTAAAAAACTTTTAGGTAAGTTAAAAAAATTGTTTCAGAAATGTTGTTGATGTTACAACTATATTCGTCCATAAATTTTATCAACACGGGTTTTAAAGTTGAAAGTCTGACCTTATTTTACATAATTAGATGGTTACCTAGCGTGTATGCGTGTAAGCATTGCTAGAAGTGCCGAGCACAGAAGTCTGATCAACTACTTGCGTGCAAATTATAAAATTCGTTATTTGTTCGCCTCATGCCCCACGTGGGTAAGCGGATTTCACAGATGCAGTTAGCCTATAGTTAGTTAGGTAATGTCATCATGTGTCATTTCGATGATGCAGTCAAGGTAAAGTAAATTTTTGGCTTCTTACTCCTATTAAGTAAGGATGTATAACTCACCATAATCCTAGAAGTAAAGGCGCTATTAACCGAAATCCCCTCGACCATCGTCTCGCCGACCTCCGCGGGGATATCCCTGAAGTTGGGCGTGACCTTGCACAGTTTCTCGCAGATGTAGGACTGAACCACGGTCATGCGGTTCGTAGTGAGGGTACCAGTCTTATCGGAACAGATGGCAGTGGCGTTACCCATGGTCTCACATGCGTCCAAGTGTCGCACCAAGTTGTTGTCTTTCATCATTTTCTAAAATTCAAATGAATACTTTAGACTTGGAAGACAAAAGATGTTCTTTTTTAGAAAGACATAAAAGTCCACATAACGCATACCTTAACAGAATAAGCCAAGGATAAGGTAACAGCGAGCGGCAACCCTTCAGGCACGGCCACCACGAGCACAGTCACACCGATGATCAGATGCTTAACCAGGTTGTTGATGTACGTTGCCTTCCACTCCTTCCCCTCCACCACGAACGTTTGCACGCAAAATTGAATGATCAGGATTATCACAGTCAGCACGGCTATAGTCGAACCAGCGTAACCAATCTGGAAACATTTGCAAGAACTCGGGTTTTTATGCTTTCAAGCTGCAAAACGGAAATATCATCGCTTTTAGGTTAACTTAAGATCTAGCCAAATCTTACGGCATCCTCATTCTAATATCATTTGTAATAGAGGTACCTGTATAGCCAACTTGGTCAGTTTGGCCTGCAGAACGGACTTCTCCTTCTTGTGTGCAGCTTCCGGTGCTGGTTTGTCGCTCGCAGGAGCCACGTGGTTGTCGTCCGCACGGGCGTGGTTCGCTCCCGCATTCGCTGATGGTAACGCGTCCTCATCACCTAAACCACCATCTGCTTATGTTAGACAACTCGTAAGTCTACCATCACCAGACCCGATGTTTGTGATGACCATTTAATCCTTTTTACCATATAACCGGTCTGATGATGTAATAGTTTACCCGCTTTTAAATCAAGGCAGATGTTACTTCAACTAAACAGTGATAATGGTACATTGTAATATGTTGTAATCTTTACGAACTCAATAGGTTGAATAAAATTTATCTACCCACATAAAGCCAATTGTTTAATTTTACGCATTATTTCACACTTACCTACAAACCAAAATTTCTTTAGAACCTCAAACCAAAAACATCAATAAAATAAAGAACGTGCAATAAGAAATAAAACGGTATCTTTTTACTTGAATACGTTCAGTAAAAAATTAGCTATAACGTTAGATTGAAAAATAAAAATATATTTTAATACAAGTAACCTCCTATTATTATTATTATTATTATATTTTTAGGGATTTAACTCATAGTGTATTTAACTAATTTATTTGCAAGCATTGAACTCGTATTTTAGTTGGAAGCATTATGAGAAATGTAAGAAAGCGTATAATGCTTCAGGCATAAATTTGATAGATACAGAATGTACTAAGAGTCATAGAGAGCGGGGCATAGATGATGATTTCCTATGGTATTCCGTATCTACCAAATCTACGCTAGGGGCCTTTCGGCAAGCGGGGCTGAGGCAAGGAGACTTACCTGTGAGGCTCTTGCGCTGTGTCCCTTTGCGTTGCTTTTTAGCTTCTAACCGCGCCAATTTTGTCAATCGTATATCCAATACAAGCATACACATTTATGACAACGAATCGGTTTAACATCATGCCAACACGACAGTACCACGATGCGGGGTAAATGTGTATGTTTATCGTTTATTCATCGGCGGCATGGATGGGTGTGCGGCGGGCCGGAGGGGCGGGGGGTGGAGAAAAAAAAATGGATGTCATTGAACGGGTCACTATGTGGAACTAAATCTAGGGGTTGTGGTCTCTTTGTACACATAAACTACAAAGTTAAGCCAACAATAGTTAAATCATGAAGGATTTAAAATAAAGCTGTTTCACAATATGATGGTTTTGTAATTGTAATTTGTGTATACAAATTCAAACTAAAGGTTTTCGCTCAAACATTAGTGCATTCAAATATTTCGTAGACAAAAATATGTAATAATTAACTTTATCCTTCTTAAGCAGAAGTGTCTGAGCGTATCATTCGCTTTTATAGTATGCATTTATTATTTAAAATATTGTTTATTGAAACGAGATTATTTTATATGGAAAATATACAAGTTCCGGGGTAACATCTAGATTCTAGACTAAGTACTACGGGATGGGGGCACAGTGGACCATGCTGACGACACAATATCAGGCCATTAGTCAAACATATACACGAACTGACGACATTGTTGCACTGGGTTTTAAGTTATGGTTTTTATAACATAAAATAATCTCATGTACGAGATTAAGTTGGTGAAACTTAAAGTACACAAAATGGAAGATCTGTAAATCCCTGCACTGTATCTGTGGCAGATAAGCCGAATTGGCTTTAATTGTTTATTTTCTTGTTGTGTTTGTTTGTTCTTTTGTCAATTTAATCATTACTTACGAGATTATATTATCAATTCAACAAATACAGAAAAATCATTTTATTTTTTCACCAACCTAATTCATATTGGAATAATTCGACACTATGATCGTGTCGCTATTGGGAAACCTTTGACATATGATATGATATTTTATTTTTTTCTTTTAATTCTACAAGTTAATGGAACCTGAAAAAAATATAGCTAGATTCTGGCTCATTTTTTATAAAAACATCACTTGTCAAAGCTCGCTAAGAATCTAGAAGCGTAATCTAGGCTTCAGGTCTTCTAATAATGCCAAGAGCATATTCCTTTATTAATTATTTAGTATAATCTCTAGATTTTTTTAGCAGTTCAAGACCTTCTTTCTGAAGTTCTAAACTTTAAGAATGTAGAAACTTAACAGTTTTGAACGTGATTTAAAAAACAGTAAAATACTTTAGTCTTAAGTGCGGAGGACGTCGCGTCGTCGCCATTAAAAGATATCGCGTTTCAATCCGTTGATCTTTATAACTCATAAGTACTTATGTACGCATTATTTTGTCATATCATCAGAGTTTTGAAATGCAGAAAGAACGTCAATAGATAACAGCTACTAGGGCGCGATAAGGAACGAGAGATGGCGACACTGACCTTTCTTCATTTGCTTGATTTCCTTCTCCTGCTTGTCGACGGCGGCGCCCAATAGCGTGAATATAATACCAGCCTGAGAGTTCACCCCCACCGCTGTAACTAGCATCTTTCCTGAGCCTGAGGAGGGCAGAGTGGAACTTTAAGTGAACACGTGTACTACACGGTATGTACTAAGTTCTAAGATAGACAAAAATCTATTTTAATTCACGTTTCCTTTATTACTTGGGGTTACAAGCTTTGGCTGTCTGATTGATTGGGATTCATTGGTTTTAGACGTTTCGCCGAAGATTTAGCTCAGTCGTAATACTCAACTTCTTCTAGGCTCGAAAACACAAGTATCAAAAATGGCCGAGAGATTTACTTCAAGACTAAAACTTTTTTTTATCAAAAAACTACTTTTAGGCAAAGGAATTCGTAAAATCTGGGATTATGTATTTCCATACAGTTGGGCTTTAGAAATTTGAAAAGTTTACGATTAGAGGAAGTCAAGAATATGTGTTTTACCTTCCATAACGTGAGTACCAGATAGCACCATGGGATCAAATGATTCTCCCTTCTTCACATGGTCCGATTCACCCGTTAACGATGACTCGTCGATCTGGAACACAAGCATTGCTTAATTAATAACAACACAATAATTACCCTCATTAGGAAAGAGAAATTGCAACCTACCTTCCTACTTTTTAAAATAATACAGATTTTGTCAGATAACTTATGAACTTTCACAGTTACTTAAATAAAATATGATCTATATCTATTATATCCGAGAGTTAAACAAATTCGAACGGTTAGTATGACTGAACATGCTGTATCAATTACTTGAAACCAATTAACTTAGCATTACTTTAGTAAAAATGGAAAATTTCGGGGAGCTTTTATCAACCCTCAAGATCTTTATGTGCAGGGGGCGCTGTCGTTGTGTTTCATAAATTAAGTAAAAAAGGTTTAAGTCTATATATGTTTTCCTTTGATATAAAATTGTATTGCTAATTTCAAGCGTTCTTTACCTACATGAGAGTCCTCTACATTGAAAATAAGCATGTTTTAAATTATTTCTTATTAGGTAACGTTGCGTAACACGTTGTCGACATTTGACACGAACGAGCCTCGTATTCGTGACTTATCTCATATACACTGACCTCATTCACCTATATTTTCTCATTAATTTAAATGGTATGTAAAATGTTGCACACTTAATGCAAGTGCAGTTCTAAGTTGCGAAACTGCGAAAGATTGGAGGGTAGTTGGTGACAGAGTTTTAATGTTACAACTACCTCCGTGTGAATATCATGCATTTTCTAATTAATGCAGGAATTATTTGATAATTTTTGTTATAGACATAGTTGTATGCTCTCAATTTATCTACTATTTTAACATACTACTTAAGATGGTTGTAGTATATTTATCTGGTGCAGTTGACACTGAACATAGAACGTGACGCACTGTCTGCAGATTGATAAGCGATAACACTACAGTGGTTTGATAAGAGCAATGCGGCAGTTTTAATCTTTGTAGAATTGTGTCAGATATTTTGCCGCTTCTTTCTATGACCATTATATCTTTGACAGATGCGGAAATACTGCAGTGTTGATATAATTTAGAGAGTTATCGCTTGCTCTGATTTTTGTCTGTAGTCGCAAGTAGTTAATATTTAAATAAAACACTTTAACGGTTTAAAACGCGATATATATTATTTAACTTATTGAATTTTTTAACTACGGCCCGATGTTTCGGATGTTTTGCAGCAGCCGTGGTCACGGGTAGTCGTCGTCCCAAATAATTATAGCCAATATATATCGCGGTGTAAACCGTTAGAGTGTTTTATTTGAATATAATGAGAATCCCTGGTCTGACCTTCAAGTCGTTGCTCTGCAGCAGGATACCGTCCGCCGGCAGCAAGTCTCCATACTTGATCTGGCAGATGTCGCCGACGACTATGTCGCTGATCGGTACCTGCTTCACCTCGTTGCCTCGTATCACCGCGAACTTGTGCTCACCTTCTATCCTTGACTGGAGCCCTCTGGAAAGACAAGTGACATAATAGGATTGACGGGCCCGTGGCACGGTGGGTTGGATCCGACATGTTTCTAATTGCTCAATTTATAAACAGATATATAACAGTGGCAGGAATATCGAAATTCCGTACGGGTCATGAACCACCATTCCAAAATAAAATCGCCGTGAATTTTAAGCGCATTTCGGTTTCAATCTGTGGATTTCCGAATATAGAAAGCCAAAATAGGGCGACTGCGCATCTAGTGTAATAAAGTAGTCAAATATGTTGTGTAGGCAAATAGTATCTATGGTCTACTACAAATCTTCCTAAATATATGTAGTAAAAATGTTGCCTTACCTGAACTGTCTCTCTTTTGTATAATCATTAAACGCTGTAACTATGACGACAACTATAACTGATATTAGGATGGCGAGACCCTCGATCCATTGGTAGTGTCCTTCTTCTTCATCAATATGCCCTGAATAACCAAATTCACTTTTAGTTACTCCACCGTTAATATATGATTTTTAAACAAGGGATCAATTGTTAAAGAAATGGTATTCAATTCGATTTTTAAGTATTGGCTGTAGTTAAAGCAAGTGGCACAGATTTATAAAAAACTGTTCTTGACTGTTTAAAACGCGATATGTATATTAGACTCGAACTCAAACCAAGTTTTCAGTGGCCTCCCGGGGAGAGAAGGTGACAACAACTACAAACTTTTAGTGAACTAAACTAAACTATAAAAGTTAATAAACTTAGAATAATGTATGATGTATAGTGGAATGTGTGTTGTATACTTAACAAATAATAATAAATTTTTATTAAAAACAACAGATCTAAACTTGTATAAAAAAAAATAACATTTATAAAAACATATATCGTTTTGCGTACAGGCGATTAGGAGTGTAACTCTATATAATATTAGTTAACTTATTTAACGGGGTAGTCTCCCCGTGACCTGCAAAGCATATAATAAATTGTAAATATGCTAACTAATATATTTCTTGTTTTAAATCGTTAAAAGTGTTTTATTTAAACAATAATACATTTATTATGTTGTTGCAACTTATAAAAAACAAAACCTTATTGGCTAATAATTGTCCCCTGGTGAACGATTTAGAATGAAGTGCCGAAGTTCGTGAAATTTCTTTTTGTTGAAAGGAGAGATTAATGAGATTTTCGTCACACAAAAATTGTAGGGTAACTAAATACAACTACAGAAAGGTGCTAGATAGTGTACTACGACATACTCTTAACTTTTTCAGGACATTTTTGCATTTGGTTCTGTGCATATTTACAAAATTCTCAGTAGCAGAAAATGGTTGTTTAGTTATATAAATTGTTACTATGTAACTGAGGTCTAAAGTGTTTTTAAAATTTTACGTTTATATCATTTATAACTAAAAAAAAGATCATGATAAGGAATATAAATATATGTAATAAACAAAGAACACAATTTCTGAAGTGTTAAGGAAAAAATAGAAAAAAAGAGAACTTATAAAATAATTAAAAACCGTTTGTTTTAGTAGCAACAAAAATACAAGTGGTAAATATGGTTCACGCAAGTAATACATGTTAAATAAGACAATTTTAACGGTTTAATATGCGCAATATATTAACTGATTTTACTTGCTGTGGTCACGAGACGGGTCGCAAATCAGTTTCAAGGTAAAGCCATATATCAAACTTTCACGTTTTAAACCGTTAAAAATGCGTTATTTAATTTACACGCTATTTCATTCCGTAGAAACAATTGTTTATACGTTTTATAAAAACATTTCACCGTTGCGTGTGCTAATATCGTGCAGGGTGAATGTAATTTATTTTACGAAATTATACGTTGCGAGTTGGTTATACGGGCCACCCAAATGGGGATGTAACTGGAGCAATAAAATGTAATGTTGCGTACATATTAAGAACATTCGCGCGGCGTCGTTGGTTTTTTCATTTCGGTACTTAAATGTTTAACTTCGATATTAACTTAATTTTTTATTACTTCACTGCGGTGTAAACCTCCTCGACCTTCAGACCACAGTAATCTATCAGTCTCGTAGAATTATAGCAAAGTTAATATTTGACGAGAAATAATTCAACATACATCTCTGCCATGTCGCATAGCCTACATATAGTTTCGATATATACATATATATATATATATATAGCAATTTGCAAGTAGGGCTCCTAAATTGAGTAATTTTCGTGTTCGCGTTGAAACCTTCACTAGTGTTTCTCCGTTCGTAGTTGTATAGTCCCAAATGAATGGTGAATGGTAAAAAAGATTTTGCAATTGTGTCATTATCTTCGACGCTCGTTGGTAATGAAGGGTAGCATGGGCTAATCCGGGTCGTGGGGTTCGATCTCCATCGGGTCTAACAAGTATCTAACCAATTATTTAATTTTACTATAACAGTCGTAGACTTCGTTTGGAAATATAGATATGAAAAGAGCCGTGAAGTTTAATCGAATTTCGGTGTCCAATAGAAAGCCGAAACACAGGTCGACAGTGCAGCTTGTTGGGACATTATATGACTCCGGTATTTCACCTTTCATTCGCTTATCTCCTTCTCTATCACAAAAAAAGAACTTTAAAAAAGAAACAAGTACGTAATAATATTGTATATTGCGAATAAGCCATCTCAAAAGAATATAGGAGCGAACTTAAATGTAAAATTACTTGTTCCCAACGCACATACGAGTATTGTACAGTGGCTTAGGGCGTCATCGTTAAAACTCATCTTCACGAGCGAGGCACTCTTGCTCCAGCGTTATTGTGACTGGGCCTTAATTAATTGCAGAAGAGAAATTAATTTGTATAAAAAGCGAGCTAGTTAAATTGTGGCTTCGCTCGAGGGCGCAGAGGTACGTGACATATAGTTGACTTGTTTTGTTTAGCCAATGTTAGACAGAATGTTTTTTAACGAACGAGGAACAATGTATTTATCTAATAAAGATGGCATGCAATTACTATCGATTATTACAAATAATTTAAAAAATCTTGATTTATGACTCAGCTTCACAAAAGCCCCAAATGGATCATTTTTTATTGTCATATCATATACTCCAATCTGAAAACTTTGGGTTAAGCTTAGGTGAGCGATTATGGAGGTGGCCTTTAAATTCCTACGACCTGCAATTAAGATAATTACTAATATTATTAAGCTGCAGAGTTTGTTTGTTTGAACCCGCTAATCTCGGGAAGTTGAATTTGTTTTGGTTCGAGCATTTATCGAGGAAGGCTATAAAACCTATGACAAATAAGAGCGAAGAAACAATGGAAAATTTGGAATAAAACGTAAGGAAATTATTAGTTTTTCTGCTTCTGTTGTATGCACTGAATCAAAAGATATCAAAAAATATGTATGAAAGAAGCATTAACTTGTAAGAATGACGGGACGCGATAACAGTTATAATTATTAAATACAATACAATACAAAAACTTCAAAACACAATATATAAAAATTTGAATTAAGGACAACGCGACTTTATAGCTAAATAGCTATCTCTTCCAAGCAACCGTGATGGAAATGAAAATTAGTGATAAAAAAGGATTGGTGACAGCAGAAAAAAAGACTTAACCACAATAAAACTAATAATAAACAATAATACAAATGAGCTTAACCTAAAAATCAATATTACTACTTACTAAGTTCTTAACTAGGCAAAAAGTGGGACTTGACAAGATTTTGAAGGAAGGAGATTTGGTTTCTTATATTACAAGATTTTTCAAAAGTTTTATAGCTCTTACATAAAAGGATGAATTATAGAATCTAGTTGAGTGAGAAGGAACGTAAATAGGGCTTTCGTCTGACCGGAGTTAAGGCCTTTATGGGAGAACTAAAAAATTTTTTTTCAGGGGGGGGGGGGGTTTAGGAGCGAAGAGTATTTTGGGAAGAAGAGAAAGAGATGTGGAAGAGATTTGCAAGAACAAATTTTGATGCCGAAAACAATCTATTCTACGCGGACACACATAGTCATTATATAAATGAATCGAAATCAAAATGAATGTTAACTAGGCAACGCAAACAGTAAGTAACACGGGCCATTGCTTTCGCATCTGATTACCGCTTAACTACGATTAAACAATCCTATCTATTGGCTATTCGAAATGCGATACTATGCCGCATAGTATAGCATATCTTAACATTATTTCGTTAAAACCTACACTTCATCCAAATGCTTAAGCCGACTTCTTTATTTAAACTTTGAGTAATATAAAAAAATATTCAAGTTTCGTTAACAATAACAACTTTTTGAATAAATTGTGTAAGGCTTTCACGGCCATCGTTCGGCTTATCATTGGCCGAACAGACCGAAAAACAATGATGAATGTTTGAATAGTTTTCTTATTGTTGTTGAAGTTCTGAACACCAAGCTAGAACCACTACGGTGCTAAAAACCTAAAGTGAGGTTATTATGTCAAAAATAGCCTTTCTTGACATAATTCAGTAGTTTCCACACTTGTTCATTTTCTAGTTTCTACACATTTTAGCTCTACTTGCACAAATCACTCAAGACAAAGAACTAACATTTACATAGACTAGGCGTAAAATCGAGCGTAAATGCTTGTATTAATTTCACAAAATATACCAATTGATTAAAGTTCGTAAGTAGCTAAGTATTGATTGTAGTTTCAAGTAGAAAACGTTAAAATGAAACATTTTTAACGGTTTAAAACTCAAAATGTATGTAATTAAGTAACTTATTTACAATATATTTTAACTACCGTCTGACGTTTCGGATGCTTTTATCGAAACAGATGGCACTAGCGTAGCATACTTGACTTTGTTTAGGGACACCCTCCATCTTAAGTCCCCCGTGACCAGTCGGGCAATAGTTAAAATACATTGTAAATAAGTTAACTAATATATTTAGCGTTTTAAGCTGTTATTTGTGTTTTATTTAATTGAAGCTTTTTACGCCAAATTCACGCCATTTAGGATTTAGGGTGTGCAGTACAAAATCTATTTATCTTATTTACAAAGGCTTACCAATACTGTCTAATGATCCCAAAGACATAAAACAGAACACATCCAATATTTATATATACATTTACATTTTATCGGGTACAAGGAACCTTCTCTAAGGATAACTTGAAACAAGGTGAGGTTGATTAAGCATTTGATAAACACGCCTTTTGACTTTTATCAAAAATAGATGTGCAAGGCGAGTTTAATCAATTTATTGCCACGGGAAGTTTTAGTGCGTTTTTCAATATTAAATCTATAATTTTAAAATAACTAAATTGAATTCTTGCTTGAGATTGTCTACTTTTATTACTTACGATATTATAAGTACAGTACGTATTTTAAAATCTCGTGGTTTACTGATACTGTCGTCACCAAATCTCAAATATATTTTTTAAAACAGACGATATTCAAGTCCAAAGCGAACTGTAGTAAATTTTAATATAAATTGAACTGGCATATCGATTCGATCGTATGAACAAAAGCGCAGATACAAAGTGTGATGAGCTTTTCCGCGTAGTGCCAATATTTCAAATCCATTATCATATGTTGGGTTAAAGGTTATGTCTATATATTATTACTGTGTGAAAATGGCTCTATGGCACTGAATATTGTTAAATTAGATGAAGAAAAATCGCATCGTTACAAATATCTGGTAATAATTTATTTATTTACATAACATTAACGAAATGTAACTATTGTGTGAAGTCCTGTTTTCCTTATACGAGACATAGATCAGACACACTTCAGTGTCCGTTTGATTGATTGTATGTTTAGGCAAGTAATGCGAAAAAAAAAAAACCCCCCCAAAAAAAAAAAAAAAAAAAAAAAAAAAAAAACCCCGGGGGGGGGGGGGAAAAAAAAAAAAAAGGGGCCCCCAAAAAAAAAAAAAAAAAAAACCCCCCCCCCCCCCCCCCCCCCCGGGGGGGGGAAAAAAAAAAAAAAAAAAAAAAAAAAAGGGGGGGGGGGAAAAAAAAACCCCCCCTTGGGAACCCCCCAAAAAAAAACCCCCACCAAAGCCCGTTGGGTAGTTTAAAATTTTCAAGCGCGAATAGATACATCATTATTCTACCAAGCAAGAATTCAGTTTACTTTTAGCTAACTTAGACTTTGTTGTATGTCAGTAGTAAATGGCTTAATGATTTTGGAATACGGATTAAAATCAATAATGATTTCCCACAGACACTCACCAATATCACTTTCGTCTTCGGACGGTTTGTAGAAACTCAAGCCCAACGAGACAACGGCGGCCACCTCCAAAATGATGAGGGTAACATCTTGCAGCGCCTCCCAGACCAGAGTGAGGAAGGTCTTGGGGGGCTTCGGCGGGATTAAATTGGAACCGAACACTTCCCGCCTGTGTTGGAGGTCAGCCTTTGAACCGCTAAGACCTGGAACAATTATTAAGAAAATTACATACAAATTCACACGTGTAGCATATGTATAAATCTCAAATGTTAACAGTCCATAGTAGCTTATATACTAAGGTGACCTAGGTTCAAAACCCACATAGGTTTAACTTTAAAGTGTTTTTTTTTATTGTTACAATTTTGATTCACTAACTTTGAGCCCATTAATAAAATATAATTAAGGAATGTTTGAATTATGTGAGGTTGTGAAGTGGTAATTTAGCGTTTCAACCTCAGCGGTGGATTTTCAAATGTCCAAAGCCAAAATAGGTCGACAACACATCTTGTTTTGGCATTATATCGCTAGGGTATTTAACTGATTTAAGCTATATTGGCTGTTTATAAATACAATTTTCGTACATATCGTGTAGTAAAGAATTTATTTGCTCAACGCAAACGCGGATTCTGAGGTGGGCTTATATTTGTTTGAAAATAGTATGAAATCAATCTTCGGCAGCATAAACTAACATCAGGTCACACAGAACTAATAGCACTAAAAATACGTGTTTAAAACGATCAAAGCATTGACGCCACGGTAAGTGATAAATATGAAAGTAAGCCTTAGTGTAGCTGGAATAAATTTCGTTTTCGATTGTAACCGAATATCATAAAACATCAAAGGTGGATTGGATCGGTATATCAAAGGGGATATTCCTTGAGTAGCATTAAGGGGGGACATTTAGCTGGATTTTTAAGTATAATTTTTTCATAGTGGAATGTCTTTTGTATGATTGTGTGAAACTGTATCAATATTATCTAATTTTATTTTTTTACATTTGATAGCATAAGACTTTTAAATAAAATACATTAACGGATAAAACCGTGGCCACGGCTGCTGCAAAGCAACTGAAAAGAGGTTAAAATAATTTTCAATTAAAGTTAATATATAGCCAGTGTACACATTAAAATAAAACACTTTAAAGGTTTAAAACGCGAAATATTAGTTAAACTTATTTGAAAATGTAAGTTTAACTAATATATCGCGTTTTCAACCGTTAAACGGAAAAAAAAAAAAAAAAAAATAAAAAAAAATTAAAAAAAAAGTTTTTTTAAATGTTAACTAATATGTTTCGCGTTTTAAACCGTTAAAGTGTTCTATTGAAATATGTACTAACTTCTTATAAACTATAGACAGCGGGAGACTTGAAAAAAATTAAATAATACGATTTGATAATTAAATAAAATGGTTAAGGGGCGTATACCTAATTGCGATATAAAAGACATTTTTTGAACTCTCTTTCACTTTAGTTTATGCTAACTGTGAAAGTCAAACTATTGTGAGATAACTTCTGAGGTCACTAGACCACTGTAGTAGACTTTAATAAATTTATAATTTTTTGTATAAACATAATAATACTTGGATATAAAATATCTTAGTAAAAGCTACATAGCTCAATTAGTTAGAGCAGCACCAAGGAACGCTGTGAATGCCAGTTCAAGTCCCGCCTGTGTCGTAATTATTTTTCAATGTAAATAGATTTTTAATTATATAATGGCATCATGTGCACATTTAAAAAATATGAAAGTTTTCAAATAAAGACTATAACAATTACAATATGACTACAACATATGTCAATATGAAGTACCCTATTTGAACGTGTTTGTTGTGCTGGAAAAGTTTTGATCTCCTACCCGCATTTGTTATTTTAATACGATTGAACTTGTAATATAAACTTAAAAATTAGAACGTACAGTTTGTAGTATTCTCTATAAGTAATTTTGTAAATCTTTCAGAGAAAAATAAACGTCTTAAACCATAATGTAATACTTGTCTTTATTAAGTTTGTCCAGCTATTTTGCTATACTCAAACAAACTAATGGTTTTAGTAGCTGTTATTTTTGAAGTCTAGGTAAAGTCTGGTCATATTCCCCAGAGCAATTCTTGTTCCCATAGTGTTAGACGAGCGTTCTCGACGCGCAGCACTCAATGGCATGTTTTACGATTATAGATCTATATTTACTCTTCCGCTACGTCGACGCTGCAACGTTACATAACGCCTACGGTTTCATACGTGTTTGTTTTTCGGAGATTATAATGCTTTATTGAGAGTCACCCGTAGTTTATACTAGGAAGTGTTTAAAAATGGTCTTGTACTTTTGTATCGTGCGCCACCAAGGTAACACATTTAAATAAAAACCTAACGGCCTAAAACGCGAAATGAATTACTTAAATTTATTTCTTTAACTACGGTCCGACGTTTCGGATGCTTTAAAACATCGCCTTTTGGGCCGTTAAATTATTTTATTCAGATGTGAACTACTCGCGTTAATTGCAGAAATTTCCCCTGTGGAGAAGAAACAGAAAATGCTAGGTCAAAAGCGTGTAATAACAATTCTAAAATAACTACAAACAATAATTAATTATATTAAAGCACATGCGCGATAAATCAATAATTTAAAATGAACCAAACATTGCTTATCAAAAGGAATAAATATTAGATTAAACGATGGCCATAAAAACAAAACGAGAAGAGAAATATATGAATACGATTAACGCACGAAGTTTCACGAGTGTCTTATTGATCGCTCGCAAAACTTGCCTTATACATAACAGAGAGCTACCGTGAAGAACTTCTGTTGTGAGTCAAACGACTTCATATCAAAACCAGAATAAAGCAACGTGCTGAAGAAAGGCTCATTTGCCATTTAAAACCTATCAATTCATTAAAAAGTTAAAAAAAAAGGCGGCCAATAAAAATTAAATTCTTTCTTTAAAAGTCCATGAAACTTGAACTACTATTGTATGACTATGTATTTATCCTCCCTATAACAAATTCTAATAAATGTCGAGTGAAATCCCATTTCCCTAAATGAGACGGAGGCACAATGGTCGTAGTTATATTCAGTCAAGTAATTGATAAACGATAGAAAAGGGGGGGGGCGGGGGTTCGAATCCAAGATCGAACAACCTTAATCGAATCTGGTTCATGCTACGTCGGTAAATACATAATGATAGTGTATGTGTACTATTAATATTTAAAGACTTATTTTTATGTTAAACCCAGGTAAAATTTAACTGAAGAAGGAAAAATACTTCAATTGTAAAAAGCAAGGACGGACATACACTGAAGTAAAACACGATAAAGAGATATTTTGAATTATTAATAGAAAATAGAATAATAGACTTATGAAAATAGAATGTAACGTTTAGCAAAGATTTGCTTGATTTATAATCTTTTAGTTTGGCGTTTCAGTTTGTAGATATTTCAAGTGTGTTTTAAAGAAAAATATCTTCACTACTAAATACGTAATTATTAGAATTGAAGTATAAAGATTTAAGAGCTTTGCACAATGCTGAATCTTGAAGAAATATTATCTCAACCATTTATACGTCATATGTATCTATCATAGAAGTAGGGACAAACTGTTACTAAATTAAGGTAATTTTCAAGTCGATTACTCGATCTGAGCAATTAATTTAGCTGCTAATGGTACAAAATAAAATTAATGAAATATCAATTCTATTATAATAACATTAACTTGCCGAAGCTGAGACTTCTAGTGCTTAAAACAAATTATCCGACAGTCCATACAAGGGAATGAATGAGATGGTTGGAGAGGGAGATGGAGGACGATGCTTTTTTGGGACTTACACTTTTTCCGCGAAACATAAAATGAAGCTAAAATAAAGTACTAAAACAGTTTTAATGAACGTTAAACTCTGATTTCTTAATTTACGCAAACAACGTCACAAAATATTGTAATCATTGTAAATTTAACGCCCACGTTTTAACATCAAAATATGTGCGCCGTGGCTTTGTGCACGAATATTTACTTTAAAATTAATTATTTCTTATGACAGAGGAGAACCGACGTGTGAATCCACTTCTAGCATGAATAACAGAATATTACCTAATTAAGAATGATCTTATTGGCTTTTAGCATTCGGAACACTATCACTACTAATAAGGGATCCAATCATGTATATTCAAGAATTTATCTGGTTTTTAGCTTGTAGCTACCACTAGGCGGACGAGGCCATGAAGATCTCTTTGTATAAATGTAAACTTGGGATATTATGTTATTCCCAAAGTGGACTTATTTTTAGAGATAACTACATTACTGCATTTTGTTAAAATATAAGTTTACTTTGTTACTTCTCCCAATTTTGTTAGTTAAAATAAGTCTCACTTGTAAATGTTGTGCTGTTTCTGGATAAACGTCTTTATTATGTATGTGATGTAGGAAGAATTTTTACAACCCAGGGCTACGTACAGCTCGACAGAGTTATCTGGATATTGAAGACATACACTTCATTTTTATGCTGCGCTGTGATTTATTTTCGCGCACTTCACGAATAAAATCGTTTTATAGCCAATAAACGGCTGATGCACGGAACGTTTCTCACGCGGATGCTGAGCGACGACAAAATGGAGTTCAACATCGTTAAATAAAACACTTTGGACGGGTTAAGAGTCGAGAAATATTAGTTAAATAAATTGTAATTAATTATGTTATAATTTTGTCATACAATAATAAGTAAGGCTATGTTAGTATAATAGCAGTGATGTCACCTCAATTTGATGATTCGATGACGGCTATCATATGGTCGTAGGCAACGATTGACGTCTTCCTTAGATATAATATAATTTCACCTTCATAGATCCTGTCCTCTTTTGTCATTAAAATACCGTAAAGAAAAGAGGGTAGGTACTACTCTACTTCACTACTAACCTATATACTGATATAGCAATATATTAGTTAACCTTATTTGAACATTATTTTAACTACGGCCTGACGGTACAGCCGTGGTCACGGGGAGACAGGTAAAATCATTTCGAAGTAAGTTGAAATAATATACACATTTTAAACCGATAAATGTGTTTTATTTAAATATGTACCTTCATGTTTTTTCAAAATGCTTGCTGGCCTATTTATAAATCAAATTGTAAACTAATAGGTATGCGGCATAGAAAGGAAAGTGTCAATGTATACAATAACGTTTTCAATTAGCGCGAATAGGTTGCCGGGATATAGGCAAT